GGAGCTCTGGGGGACAAGTAGTTGGCGGAAGCAAAATTGGAGCAAATACCAAGACTGCTCCCCTGACCCCCTGACCAAAAATAATTCTCTCTGGACTATGGTCACGGTAAATGAGGAGGTACCGAAGGCACGTTTGGAACCACTCTCTGGGCTCCACCCGTGGTCCTTAGGTGGCCAGGCAGTGTGCACCAGTAATAAAAAAATTTGCAAGCAACCCCAATTAAGGTACAAAAAAATATATTTTTGAGCAATTGGAGTTATTTTCAATTGGCGGCTAACCGATGGAGAAGAGGCCCGTGATGGTGGCTTTTTCCCCCCCTGCTTCCCAAGCCGAAAGAAGCAAAATCCGGCTCCCCGGATCATTCGGGCTTTCAAAATGGCGGCCGCGACCTAATTCCACCGAATTTAGGCTCTGTGGCCTCCACGGGGAGATCTGGGCTCCTCCGAACGATCGGAGCGTTCTGGGGGCGTTGCGATGCGATCGCAAAGGCCCCCGAATGCTCCCTGTTATGTGCACCAAACAGGGGAAGTTAATTTCTGTTAGAGAATTTTAATTTCTCTAATTGGTGAAAAATAAATCAGAAGCTCTTACAGTTGACTGCATTTAGCTGATTCAAATAACTTTATATTTATATAAAAATATTTACAATACCATTCTTCTTTACAGCAACATAATGAAGGCTTCTTACAGAGACAGACCAAAGACAAAACCTTGAGACTGGAAATCCAGCTCCTAACTCAATACTCCTTTTGCACAGACTCAGTAGCACCTCCAATAATGAATCTTTCATTGTTTGCAAAACACCATTCCTTCTTTCAGCTACACCATTCTTTGCTGCTGTGTAAGGATTTGTACGTCTGTGTCTTATCCCCAACTGCCCCAACCATTGTTGGAATTTAGTTGACATAAATTCAGTACCTCTGTCAGTTTGCAACTGACACACTTGTTGTCTGTACCTTCTCTCTACAAAACTTACCCACTGTTTGAATTGTTGTAGCACCTCTGTCTTTGCTCTAAGCAAATAGCAAAATGAATACCTGCTAAAATCATCAACAATTACCAGTGCATATTTTGCTCCTCCCAAACTGGCTTGCATAGGTCCCACCAGATCTGCATGGACCAGCTCTAGAACTCTTTTTGTTTGTCTTGTGCTACATTTACTAACTGGGAATGCCTTTGACTTTGATGCTTTGCATACTGCACAGTCCAAATATGTTTTGCATCCCTTCAAATTTAGCCCTTCTGCAAAATCTTGCATTTGCTGCAAAACTTTAAAGCTTGCATGGCCAAGTCTTCTATGCAGAAGATGAACACATGAATCATGCTCTGCAACATTCTTAAATATATGGGAACATTGAACCTTTTGTCCCTGCAATACATATAGATTATCTTCCTTTATGCCTTCTGCACAAATATTCCCATTCCTTTTGATGAGACATTTCCCATTTACAAAAATGACCTCAAAACCTTGTTTGTCTAAATTAGACACACTTAACAAATTATGTTCCATCTCAGGTAGACAAAGCACATTGGTAAACTTTGATTCCAAATATGGAATTTTTACATCGCCTTTTCCAATGACTTTTGCTTTCTGGCCATTTGCCAAAGCCACAGCTTCTTGTGCTACTGGAACAAACCTGCAAAACAAATCACAGTCATTAACAATTGTTTGACTTGCCCCACTATCAATTAGCCACTTGTCTCTGTTGTTGCTATTGCAAACTTTTGCAATTCCAAAATGTTCCTTTTGCAAAGCAGTCCTTTTTCTTTGCACAAATGTCTTGTTCTGCAAATTGTTCCTTTGCAAACAGTTCCTTTGCAAATGTGTCTTTTTTCAACAAATGTAGCAAGTCTTTTCCCGATTCATTGTTAGAGGATTCTGGTATGAGCAGGTCATATTGGGGAGAAGCCATATTGACTGCCAATTATATAGTTAACAGGCTGTGGAGTTCCTCCATTAATAATACTCCATATGCCATTCTATGTGGGAGAAAGCCATCACTGGCACATTTGAGAATTTTTGGAAGTACTGCATGGGTACATATTCCAAAAGCAATTAGAAGAAAGGGACAGCAAAAGGCAAGAAAGCTCAGGTTTGTGGGCTATGAGCCAGGGTCAAAAGGATATCGCTTTAGCGATGGAAGTAAAAGAATTATAATTTCAAGGTCTGCTAATTTTGCAGAACAAAATTGGGACAGAATTAATGCAAATTCTGGGTATGTCTCACTTAATGATGGTGATCTGTTTCGTGACAATAATTCATCTAATGATAAAAAATTCATTATTGAAGATGTCCATGTTCAGGGAGGAGAGGTTGAACAAGACATGAAGCCAGAAAGACTTGAGACACAGGAGCAGTTAATACCTCGTAGGTCAGAGCGATGTAATAAAGAAATTCCGCCTGACAGGTATTCTGCTAGCAAGGTAAAGGTTTGCAATGTGTGGTATGAGCCAAGAAGTTATAAAGAGGTGTTGGCATTATCAAAGGCTGAACAAGAAAGATGGAAGGAGGCCATGGATAAAGAAATGAAATCCATGGGAGACCATGAAGTATTTAAATCAGTGACTTTGCCACAAGGAACCAAAGCTGTGGGTTGTAAATGGGTATATAAGAAAAAGGTATTGCCAAATAATGATATACAGTATAAGGCCAGGTTAGTGGCACAAGGTTTTTTCCAATTAAAGAATGTATTAATAGGTCTGATGTCTCTTCCTGTCATGAAGGGAGGAGTGTTGGAATATTCATGAGCAGGAAGAGTCATGTGGTAACTCAGTCAGCCAATGGGAAGAAAGTGCTACTGAGTCTGTGCAAAAGGAGTATTGAGTTAGGAGCTGGATTTCCAGTCTCATGTCTGTATCTGGTCTGTCTCTGTAAGAACTGTTCAATTAAGATATGTTGCTGTAAAGAAGAATGGTATTGTAAATATTTGTATATAAATATAAAGTTATTTGACTCAGCTAAATGCAGTCAACTGTAAGAGCTTCTGATTTATTTTTCACCAAATAGAGAAATTAAAATTAAAATTAAAAAAACTCTAACAAGTTTCCATCCATGGTTTCTTGTCCAGCCTTCTGGTGCTTTGGAGAATAGACTGACTCCCTCATCTCTCTGGAAACCCCTGAAATATTGGAACACTGCTATCATGTGACACTTAGTCCTTCTCTTCATTAAACCAGACAAGATATTTCTTTGGATGGTTCATATTTATGACAGTTGCAGTGTGCCGGAATCATGTGATTACCTCTTGTGAACTTCTGACAAGCAAAGTGAATGAGGAAACTAGATTCACAACGGTGTTACTAACTTAACAACTGCAGTGATTCACTTAACAAACATAGCAAGAGAGGTTGTAAAATGGGGCAAAATTCACTTAACAACTGTATAACTGAGCAACAGAAATTTTGGGCTCAATTGCATTTGTAAGTCGAAGACTACCTGGGTTTTCACAGACCGATTCTGGCTTGTCCGATGAGGCAGTTGCTGTTTTGCCTAATTCAGGTTGAGGACGAATCTGGGGCTTGGTTCATCTTTCCTCTCCACATTTTCCTCTTCTTTGTTAAGATATTTAATTTAATAGCTGGAGCAGTGAAGGGTTGGACAATGAATCAGAGCACACAGTTATAGCTGATTGGTTGAAGAGGGTTGGCTACTGCATGAGGCAATCTAAGCTGTAACCTTGAGCAAAAAGGGGGAGGCTCCTTGTTTCCCGACTTTTTTCCAATGTGCCCTCTATAATTTACCTCATGATGCCTTGATTTACCTGATATGCTGCTGTTTGCCTGATTATCTTATTTACTATTAATATATTTATTTATATAAAACTATATGTTTGTGTCAGCATCTCTGCCTCCATTTGGACACCGGCTGTGCAATTCCCTGACTTTTTCCCCTGCAGTCCCTGATCGCAGAGGAGCTGAGGACAGGGACACACAAACACACACACCATTTCATGAGGGACTGACAGTCTTCTGCCCACCGAAGGGGCTTGCTAGTCCGTGCCCTTCCAACACACACACAGACACGGACCCATTCTGTCAACATAGCCATGCCATTTACAACACCTCTGCACCACCTTCCCCTTTTCTCTCCTTGCCCTTTGCGGTGGGCAGAAAGGAATCTGAAATGAAATAGAAATGAAACAGACTGGGATTTATTTCTTGAGTCTTTACTGAAGCTCAAAAGGTTTACATGAAGTCAGTTGTCACTATTCTAGAAGCTCAGCAACCGGGGACCACCTGCAGCTAAAGCAAAGGGGGAGCAAGGAAAGCGGATACAGGAAGAGTTGAGATGGAAGCGTCAACAAGGAGAGGTCCCTTAAGATCTTACTGCATTAGTCTTGTTGGAGAGAAATGCCTCTTCAGAGACAGAGGAAAGGAAGGCACGGTTCAAGGCAAGGTCCTGTTAGGAAACAGAACCTATGCCAATGGGTGAGGGGGGGCTAGCACAATAGGCCTCCAGAGCTTTTGGGGGCTGATTCCCTTTTTTCGTTCATTTTTGGGTCTGCCTGTGGGAATAATGGTCTCCTGAAAGAGCTGCACTGGGTTTTCCATGACAAATGAAGGCACATATACATCTCCCAGGATAACGTTGCAATATCCAATCTGGGTTGGTCACCAGGACCAGAGGTTTACTGTTCTGAGCATTCAGACCCGTGCTGGAGCCCATCCTCAGGAAACCTCTCTTTACTGGAATACAGGTAGTCCTTGACTTGCAACACTTCGTTTAGTGACTGTTCAAAGTTACAGCGGCACTGAAAAAAGTGATTATAACTGGTTTTCACACTTAAGACAGCTGCAGTATCCCCAGAGTCACATGATCAAAATTCCAACACTTGGCAACTGGCTCATATTTATGATGGTTGCAGTTTCCTGGGGTCATGTAATTACCTTTTGCTGCCTTCTGTCAATGGGGAAGTCAGATTCACTTAACAACCGTGTTACTAACTTAACAACTATAGTGATTCACTTAACAACTGTGACAAGAAAGGCCGTAAAATGAGGTAAATTCACTTAGCAACAGAAATTTTGGACTCAATTGTTATCGTTAGTCGAGGACTACCTATATGCACTTTGGGCCATTCTGTGAGTCGCAATTATGTGATGCCTTCCTATTGGTTCATTGGGGTGTTGATGGCTGGTGATGGGCTGTTGTTTCCTTGTGCTGTCATGTTCAACATTCTCCACAAGTTTGATATTCCAAAGAACCACTGTCCTGACTATAGGGAGGAGGAGAGCGCAAAAGTTAGACATCTGACCACTCTCCCAACTGTTCCTCGGTGCCACTTAGACTGTCATATGGGAAATTCTGTTTTTTGGGTAAGAGGGAAAACCACAGTTTCCTGCACAGCCTGACACCAGGCTACCTGAGTGGTGGGCTATGAAAGAGCTGGAGAGGGCAAGGATGTGTCTCTTCAAAGAGTTGGTGGACCATCTTCAGGTTAGTTAAGCAGGACAGATGGATGAAATTATAGGGTACAACCTCTTCAGATCCAGATCTGTAAGGCAAGGGCTAGATGAACAAGGAAGAGGAACGAGGCTGTTTGATTTCTAGAATCGTTCTAGGAATTGGATTACACTATTCATACTCTTCCTCGTACTTGGAAACTGGATTGACCTCATACCTATCAGCAAGGTGATCCCATGGAATCCGTCCTTGAGGTGAAGCCAGGTGACAGGGACACCATTGTCTTCCAGCCTCTTCTTATAGAGCAAGCCATCATCTCGGAAAATGTCATATTCGCAGGTTAAAAGGAAAGTCTCTGGAAACTGCTGGATGACGGCGTCTTCCGCCAGGAGTGGGGAAAATATGGGGTCGAAAACTGTTTTGTATTTTTGGAAAAGATCTTCTGAAAACGGACCAGGTACAAACGGCACGTAACCCCGGCCTTTAAATTCCTCCGGAATATGTTCCGCACTGATCCATTTCTGATACTTTGCCATGAGTTCCTGCGGGACATGGGCATTGGCCATAATTTCATTGACCCCAGCACTGGTTCCTGAGAGATAAATGCAGCTCGGCCAAAAGCAAGCATGGAACAATCACCTGCCCGTTCAGCTATAGCTGTGGTGCTCTGTAGGCAGAGCTGCGAAGTTAGAAAGTCTGATGAAACTTTTTTTTTTACCAATAGTCCCACAAACACGCAGCGGAGTCTGAGAAGCGAACAGAGGAAACGGAATGCAGCTGAAAGGCAGGTTAGTAAAAAAAAAAGCTTGGGGGAGGCGAGGGCATCTGGACGAGGGCGGGCCCGGCAACCTTACCCTGGGTGGCTTAGGCAGGTGTCTGGCAAGGGAATGGAAGCAATTGGTCTACCACCATGCAAGTGCCGCTGCTTTGCTTCTCTACCCCATTCACAGGCCCCATCCCACCCCTTGCATGGCGGCAGGGGCCTAAAGCGAAAAGATTTTATACAACCCAGCTTAAAAAGCCACTTCCCCGGGGAGATTTTGGTGCAGGTTGCTCATGGACGGGACTTAAGGCCTTCAACTGGGGCAGTGGTGAGCGTGCCCACAGAGAGGGCTCTACGTGTCACCTGTGGCACCTGTGCCATAGGTTCTCCACCACGGCCTTAGGTCAAACATTTGTCCGTCCTTCTTGCACATCAATCAAACAATTATTTGGAAAACCTACGGGGGCTTCCAAACAAGCCTGCTCCTCCGTGGATCCAGACAAGTCCTCGTCTGTTCTCTGGACTTGCTCTTTTGGGACAACAGACCATCACCGGCACTCTGTCAAAAAGCATTTCCTTGACAATCAAGTCAGACGGTTTCCTGGGGGGTATTCCATTCACAAGGAGCCTCCATATCGCAAATTCATGGCAGATGCCAAGTTTATCCAGAATCTTGGCCTGCACAGGGGAAAGACAAGAAAGAAACCAAAGGATAACACACAAAGGATTTGTTTAGATGCTATCCAGAGCGAGTTCTAACAAAAGAGAATATTTGGAGCTCAGGGTTGAAAGGAGGGATCCTTGGTGCTCTCTGAGCTTGCTTGTGGATCCTCAGGTACACCAAGTGTAGGACTGTGCCATTCAGGCAAACCAACTGAAAGCAAAGCTAGAGTCCAAAGGCAGAGACTTATCAGTCCGAGAACAATTCTTACAAACAAATAGAGAAGGCGCAGTTTTCTCCCCTGGCTGATTCCTGGCGGGAGATGCATGCTGATGATATTATAGTAAAGGATCCACCCGAGGAATAACAATGTGACTGAAATGCAAAAGTAAAATGCCAATATCCACAGGGTTTGGCCCAATATCGTTTCCATGGTGGAAAGGTCCTGAGATCAGAGATGGGATTTTTTTTTTCACTATCTCACCAAAGAAAATTGTCTTAAAGCTTAATTTGCTTTCTTCTTGGTCCGTGAGGTCTATATTGCCCTGTAGTTCTTTTAACAATAGGTGACATGTACACCTCGATGCCTTCTCTCTTTTTTTTTAATGAAAGTTTTTTATTTTTTCCATATAAACATTATAAAAAAAACAGTATACAATATAAAAAAACAGTATACAATATAAAAAAACAGTATACAATATAAAAAAAACAGTATACAATATTCGATGCCTTCTCTTATACCATTTCAACAGGTATGATCGGTCATCTGATCATTTTTTAATTCATGATTTAACTGGACCAACAAGTTCTGAACAAACAGATCTCTTTCAAAAGTCTTCTCTCTTGAGGGTTACATCATCCAACATCGGTTGAGTTTACTTCATGATCACCCCACAGATTAAATGAGGAGGTTCATTTATCTGTATTCCTTAATTACGGCTTTCAGAGGCACACTGTAATCTGAGTAAGCTTTTGGGAACCACGTTCCCTGACACAGAAAAATGACTTTACACAGATTTTGAGATGACAACAGCATCAAAAAGGTTTCATGCCAAGTGGATTTTGCCATTTGGGTTGTAATTTGGTATTTTTGCTTCTGATGGTCAGAGGCAGATCAGTTCAACTAAAATTGTCTAAAATCGCCGTCATAGCAGTGTTCCAATATCTCAGGGGCTGCCACAAAGAAAAGGGAGTCAAGCTATTCTCCAAAGCGCCTGAGGGCAGGACAAGAAGCAACGGATGGAAACTAACCAAGGAGAGAAGCAACCTACAACTAAGGAGAAACTTCTTGACAATTAGAACAATTAACCAGTGGAACAACCTGCCTCCCGATTGGACAATTATTTGTCTGAAATGGTATAGGGCAGCTTGGGGGGAGGGGGAAACAGGGCTGCATGCATGCAGCTTGACTTGTACAAGTAGCAGGCTGGCACACGGAACTTGATTGTAAGTTGACCTGTATATGCCCATGCATGCAAGCCCACTTGCGCAAGCTGCACAGACACACTGGCCCGCAGCTCACGTGGCCCAGTTGCGAATAGGCCACAGCCCAATAGTAGGCCACAGTCCAGGGACTGGGGACCCCAATATAGGGTTTCCTGCCTGAGCAGGGGGCTGGACTAGAAGACCTCCAAGGTCCCTTCCAATCCAGAGCCCTGAAATGCAGTTCTTTGCCCTTCCTTAATAATGGGACATTTGTAGATGGGAAAATTGCAACTATCACTATTGGGTAGTTTTATGTTTGCAAGGTTGAGGTATTAAGCAAAGACACATGGTGAACAAACAAGCTTCTTTATTGATCTCTTCTTACAACCAGCAACAGCAAAATGGCACGCAGGCCATTTATAGAGTCCTGAACTCAGACAGTGTCAGCCAATAGGAAGCTGGCTGTTTTCGTGCCGTGCGCATGCGCGCAAGGCTAGCAACAGCCAGTCTTGTCCCGGGCAGCTTTTGGTCTGCCTGGGACCGTTTGCAACATTGCTGAGCCTGCTGAATGCTTCAGCAGGCTCAGGACAACTGCAGCCAGCAGTCAGTCAGTGGAGAAATTGGTGGAAAGACTTGAGGAGCTAGAGATGAGAAGTGAGCCCATTTAATCATACAATCTTTTACTAACTCTGTTAGGAACCAATCTTATTGGATCAATGGGAGAATATTTGGATTAGAAATGTTAAATTTACACAGGCCCAAAATCTGAGGGAAAATTTTTTATAAAATGTTTTATAGGTGGCATTTGGATCCTAAAAATTTGGCTTATATGTATCCTAACTTCTCGGTAGCTCCACCGCTCCTGTGTTTGAAGCCGTTGAGGGTGGCAAGACCGTCTCGAGGTGCCTGGAGTCTTTGCTAGGTAGGAATGTGATTTATGACTGTTAACTAGAGGAGGGAGGGAATTGTGCTTTGATACTATGTGCCTGGGGGGGGGGGAATTCAGTTTTTGGCTTCGATTACGCAAGTGCCGATATTAAACTACTTGAATAAAAGATCCTTTAAGGTAAACAATGCCTCGAAGTTCTTTTGAAGAGTTTCATCTGTTGGAACCATGACAGGGGGTGTAAAACGGACGTAAGTTACTTTTTTCAGTGCTGTTGCAACTTTGAACGGTCACTAAGCAAACTGCTGTAAGTCGGGGAATACCTATATATGAAATAGAAATTCATAAAGTGGAAAGGTGATTGGGGAAGAATGAAGGGAAGAAAAAAAAGAGCTGGGAATGCTGATGGTGGCCCTCGGGGAGGGGGCTGAACTGTGCCCTGGGGAGGATCATGGTTTCCTTGCCCCCTCCCCTTTGGCAGCTACTCTGGCATTCCCTTGTGTCTTCTCTGGTTGCCATACCTGTTGCAAGATGGCCTGTTGGAAAGAACTGGAGAGTCCAACCTCGCCATTCTTCAAATCAGCAGGCAGAGAAGAGCAGTCACAGCAGTGGTGACAAGGCCCCAGCAAAGTCAGTGAAAGCATTGCCTGCAGGAGTGCAAGCTGGCCACATGGATTTACATTATAGAATAACAGAGTTGGAAGAGACCTTGGAGGTCTCCTAGTGCAACCCTCTATAGAAACAGGGGGCCCTATACCATTCCCGACAAATGGTTGTCCAATCTCTTCTTGAAAACCTCCAGTGATGGAGCACCCCCACTAAACTTCTGGAAGCAAGCTATTCCATTGATTAATTTCTCCTTAGTTCTAGGTTGCTTCTCTGCTTGTTAGTTTCTATCCTTTGCTTCTTGTCCTGCCTTCTGGTGCTTTGGAAAATAGGTTTACCCGCTCTTCTTTGTGGCAGCCCCTCAAATAATGGAACACTGTCTCAAGGATTAAACTTTGACAGCTATGTTTCTCTGCATTTCAACTTGCCTTTAGAGTAAGAGGGGGGTAGTCTTACTTTCCAGTGGATTAGATGGAAAAATGAAATTTGTACAATTCCGCTGAAGACTGTGAGAACCTGAAACCTTTTCAAGGACACCAGAACAGGTGTGGATGTGAAGCAGACAGTTCCCATAACAAACAGAACTTGTTTATATGGACTACGTAAGACATTGGGGGTTTGGCTGGGAAAATTATTGTTTAAGTCTATGAATTGATGTTAGAGCCTCAGAGTTAGTTTTGTTTCAGCAAAATCAATCAACTTAATAAACAGTAAGATTTTTAGAAACGGAATGAACCTGGAACTTTATTTGGATTCTCAAGCCGGCTGTTGACACACTGCTATCATGTCACCCCTAGTCCTTATTTTCATTAAACTAGACATACCTAATTCCTGCAATTTAGAGGGAGCTGCCGCTCGGGTGTTTCCCCTGAACTCTATCTGAAGAGGGATAAGAGGGGAGGAAGAGGGAAGGAAGGAAATTGGATGAGAGGAAGGGGTGAGGGGAGAGATGAGAGGAGAGAGGGAGTAGGGAAGTAAGGAAGGAAGGTTGAGAGGGCAGATGCAGTCGGGGGGAGATAGACGAGTGACACCTAAGGTCTTATTTTAAAGGTATTTTTCTCTTGTTTTAGTTTTATATATAATGTATGGAAAGTATTATATGTATTGAAAATTCAAATAACATTTTTAAAAATAAAAAAAAATAAACGGTAAGATTTTTGGAAATGGAATGAACTTGGAGTTTTATTTGGATTCTCGAGCTGGATGTTGACACACTGTTATCATGTCACTCCTAGTCCTTATTTTCATTAAACTAGACATACTCAATTCCTGCAACTGTTCTTCATATGTTTTAACCTCCAGTCCCCTAATCATCTTTGTTGCTCTTCTCTGCACTCTTTCTAGAATCTCAACGTCTTTTTTGTACCGTGGCACCCAAAACTGGATGCAGTATTCCAAGTGTGGTCTTACCAAGGCATTGTAAACCCTTATTAACACTTCACATGATCTTGATTCTATCCCTCTATTAAGGCAGCCTAGAAATGTGTTGGCTTTGTTGGTGGCTGCAGCACACTGCTGGCTCATATTTAAATGATTGTCCACTAGGACAATCCCTCTCACAGTTAGTACTATTGAGCCAAGTACCACTAAATGTTAGCTTTCAAGCGCCACTAAACCATTTGCAGGATTTGGTGGAAAGACTAACATGGCCATCCCCGTGTTAAGTATTTGGGGAGACTCTTCTGGAAGTTTCCCATCAGTGTGCACCCTTTGATGCAAAGTCAGGTTTGTGCTCTGGCTGAAGCTTTTCCCACACTCGGAGCAGGTGTAGGGCTTCTCCCCGGTGTGGGTTCTCTTATGTCTAATAAGGCTGGACTGATCCCGAAAGCTCTTCCCACAGTCCGTGCAGCCATACGGCTTCTCCCCCGTGTGCATCCGCTGATGCGCATTGAGGCTGCCCCTATGACTGAAGCTCTTCCCGCACTCGTAACATTTGTAGGGCCTCTCCCCCGTGTGAACCCTTTGGTGCTGAATGAGACTCGGTTTGTCAGAAAAAGTCTTGTTGCAATCGGCGCACTGATGCGGCTTCTCTCCTTTGTGGATCTTCTGATGCCTCACGAAGTTGGTGCTCTTGTTAAAACTTTTCCCGCATTCCGAGCAATGGTATGGCTTCTCCCCTGTGTGGATAATTTGATGGGAGGCGAGGTGGGCGCTCTGAACGAAGCTCTTCCCACACTCTAAACACGTATACGGTTTTTCTCCGGTGTGGATGATCTGGTGGGACGTCAGGTGGGCGCTGCGACTGAAGGACTTCCCGCATTCCAAGCATTTATACAACTTCTCCACTTTAGGGATTCTCGGCGGTGTCAGCAGGTTGGATGGACCATGAAAGCTTTTGCTGAAATCAGAGGGTTGATGTTGTCCATCAGCATGGACAGCCTGATACGATGGAGGAATTAAAGGAACTAGAAACTTCTCTCGGTTTTCCAGAAATGTATATGAACTCTCTCCTTCAGAAAGCATTTCCCTGTCTCTGGTATTCTTCCCCAAAATACTTTTCTGGGATTCAATCTCGGCAGATATTTCCCAGGGATCACTGAGACATCCATTTCTTTCCTCTCCTTTCTGGTTTTTTTGCTGCAATGAGATTTGATGGAACTCTCCAACAGAACAAGGAAGGGGTTTATCGATCCATTCTTCTTGTTGGCTTCCTTCTTGGTGTGAGGGTTGAATTCGGTTCCAGACTTTCTCTTCAAAGGGTTCCTGCTCAGTTTCTTCAGAGAAATTCCCACATAGTTGCCCCTCTGTTTCACTTTTCCATTCAGATCCTGTTGGAATTAAGATTGGGAGATGGTTAGAGCTCACACCAAACTATTTAGAAGTAGACTCTCTGAGAATATTTGGGGTTCCCCATTAAATAAAAATAATGAGGGAAAAAAGTTCTGGATAATGGATGTCCATGGAGATTTTCAGTCATCCAGGTCATGATTGTCCCAAAGGTGCTTTTTCAAGAGGCAACTGGACTTTCTTGTGAAAGCCCAGTTGCCTCTTGAAAAATCACCTTTGGGCTTCTGGAAAGTGGACGTGGCAGGACCAAGAGACAGCAGAAGACAAGAGAAAGAACTGGATTAGATGGAGAAATGAAATTTCTACAATTCTGCTGAAGACTGTGAGAACATGAAACCTTTTCAAGGATAGCAGAACAGGTGTGGATTTGAAGCAGACAGTTCCCATAGCAAACTGAACTTATTTATATGGACTACATAAGACATTGGGGATTTGGCTGAGAAAATTATTGTTTATGTCTATGAATTGGTGTTAGAACGTCAGAATTAGTTTTGTTTCAGCAAAATCAACTTAATAAACAGTAAGATTTTTGGAAACGGAATGAACCTGGGAGTTTTATTTGAATTCTCAAGCTGGATGTTGACACACTGCTATCATGTCACCCAGTGATTAGTTCCCATCAATTGTTTCTTGCCCTGCCTACAGGTGCTTGGCATTAATCAATTCCTGAAACCAATATATAACTATTGTGGACTATTACCCCTATGTGCTAAGTTTTTTTGGGAGGCGGGGGGAGTTTCACCATCTTTTAAAATCCTCCACTGTTTCCTATTCATTTGTCCACTTTTCTTACCAATCAAGCTAAAAGCCTCAAACTGAGATTTCCTTCATATGTTGATTGGGCTTGTCTGCAGTTTCCTGAGCTTTAAAAGAAAGTCTTTGAATCAAGATTTCTTGCTTCAGCAGGGGGCTGGACTAGAACAGGGCTTTTCAACCTTTTCACCCATTGTACCACTTTTAGGATATGGCAACATCCGAGTACCACCAGTCGCCTAGCAAGGTGTCAAAAACTTGATGACCAAAACAAAAAAAAAGGAAAAAAGTGATAAAGTACAGATAGTCCTCGACTTACAACAGTTCACCTAGTGACTGTTTGAAGTTACAATAGCACTGAAAAAAGTGTCCCCCGAGCCACAGCCGAGCAAGACACCTGCCTGCCCGCCCGGCAGCGCTCTTCCTCCTGTCCGAGGTTTCCATTGTTGTGAGCATTTCTGTTGATGATTGGCAATGGGGGTCGGGTGGGAGGGTGTTTGGTTTTTATTCCGTCCATCTGCTAGGTGGTTGCAGCAGGTTTTGGTCACTTCACATGACCCTGGGTCACTGTGACCGTTATAAATATGAATCAGTTGCCAAGCAGCTGAATGTAAATCACAAGACCCTGGAGATGCTGCAACATTCCAGCTGATCGGCGCTTCTTCTGGGCTCAGCAGAAACACCAGGATCAGCGCCAAGCTCCAGATGGAGACTGGTGCTGATCCTGGCGCTTCCGCTGAGCCCTGACAGCCCTGCAGCTCCAGCCGTCTCTTGCTCAGGCTTGTGCGGTGCTGCCACCGGTTCAGCTCATTCCCCTGCCCCGCTACTACTTTTCTAGGATGGTCGCGTACCACCTGCCAGGTGCCAATGTACCACAGGTGGTACCCATATCACTGGTTGAAAAGCCTTGGACTAGAAGAACCTCAAGGTTCTTATTACGGATCATCGCACAGTCTGCCAGATGTTCAGACTGGATTTGGCATTTTGTCTACCTATCGAGTCCTTACCCAGGACCTGGGATAGGCAGACGTGGATGTTTGATGGTATTACAGGTATTGTCGCAGGATGGAAGCAGTTCCTAGTAAGGCCGCCTTTTGCAATTGACTAATGGCAAATTTGTCAATGCCAATGGTATTCAAGACAAATTTGCCATTATTATTATTATTATTATTATTATTATTCATTAGACATGAACCTCAGTCAACTGAACATTCAAATTGGCTGGCGCTGATGGTTGACACGAGTTGCTACCAGCATCCTAGGTGTCAACCAGGTATCTCCTTAAAACAGTGGTTCTCAACCTTTTTAATGCCGTGACCCCAAACTGGTCGTAAGTCGAGGACTACTCAACCGGTCGTAAGTCGAGGACTACTCAACTGGTGCAGCACCGTTTGCAGAATGGGACTTTTGGCGGGCTCAGCAGGGCAGAGACAGCTAGGACAATTCCTATTGGCTTTTGAAAGCCAATAGAATTAGACTCTATTCAAGAGAGTCTATTCTATTGGCTTTCAAAAGCCAACAGAATAAAAAGGAGTAGCACAGCTAAGGAAAAAGGGAAAAAAAATGGCGGACTGCGTTGTTTGGCGACCCCCGTGAAATGGTCGTTCGACCCCAAATGGGGTCCCGACCCACAGGTTGAGAACCGCTGCTTTAAAATGTAAGATGTTCCGAGTAGTGCAGGTTTTTGTTTTTTTTTTTGTAACATTGCTGGAGTTATTGCAGAAAGCTACAGTTTCTTGATATATTTTGCAAAGTTTTCGGACATAGTTCCCAGTGCCCCGATGACAATGGGTACCACTGTTACACGTTTCATCCATAATCGTGCAGTTTCGATGGCCAGGACGCGATGTTTCGTAATTTTTTCCAATTTTTTTTCTTCGATTCTGGCATCTCCTGGTACAGCGATATCAATCAGCTGTACGCTTCGGTTCTCTACAACTGCGATATCTGGCGTGTTGTGTTCCAAATGTCTGTCTGTATTATTGTTGTTGTTCTTGTTGTTATGGTTGCAGAGTTCTGGGTTCACGTGCTTGCCATCTGAGAGGTTCCCAGCCAGCTTCCAGCAAGCAAAGCCAGCAGGGGAAGCCATTCGCTTAAGGATTGTATGGCCTGTTTAACAACTTCAGTGGTTTGCTTCACAACTGTGGCCCCCCCAAAAAATGTTGTCAAATTAGGCGCGATTCACTTAATTGCTCTACTTAGCAATGGAAATTTTGGGCGTAAGTCGAGGGTTGCCTGTACAATAACATTTATGAACAGAACAATGAAATAAGGATATGAGCTAAAGCAATGAAGCCTACAAATCAAGAAAGGAATTTGTGATCCGCAAGTAGTCCTCAACGTACGACCACAGTGGAGCCCAAAATTTCTGTTGCTAAGCAAGACATGTGAGTTTTGCCCCATTTTATGATCTTTTTTGCCTGTTGTTAAGTGAATCGCTGCAGTTGCTAAGTCAGTAACTCAGCTGTTAAGTGAATCTGGCTTCCCCATTGACGTGGCTTGTCAGAAGGTCGCAAAAGGGGATCACGTGACCCCGGGACACTGCGACCGTCATAAAGCTGTCAGTTGCCAAGCGTCGTGAATTTTGATCACATGACCGTGGAGGATGCAGCAAAGTTCAGAACTGTGAAAAACGGTCACTTTTTTCAGTGCCTTTGTAAGTGAACGGTCACTAAATGAACCGTTTGTAAGTCAAGGACTACCTCTGTTACCTTCATCCGTTCAAATGTCTTTCTGGGAAGAAATATCGGATAAGGATAAAAATGTTGCAACAGACATCCAGTCTGTTTTTTTTTTAAATATATTCCTGTGTATTTTATTTGTTCTTTATATTTTTTGTTTATATATATATCTATATTAAAAAAAAAAACCTTGGCAAGTTTAAATAGCAACGTAACCAAACTAATGCACAAAAGACTCAGCATTGCTAAACCAGCAATTCATTTAAATCAGTGGTTCTCAACCTGTGGGTCGGGACCCCATTTGGGGTCGAATGACCATTTCACGGGGGTCGCCAAACAAGGCTGTCCGCCATTTTTCCCCTCTTTTCTTTGGCCACGCCCCTGGCACCCGGTGATGTATAAGTGGTTGGGGGTCACCACAACATGGGGAACTGTATTATGGGGTTGCGGCATTAGAAAGGTTGAGAACCACTGATTTAAATCCAGTTTCTCTCACCCTGATCTTTTCTAGACATCTTGCCTCACAATTCCCCCACAGCAGGCCCACCCATGCTGGCTGGGGATAATGGGAGCCCTAGTCCGCAGCATCTCTTTGCAAGTAGACAGATTCTGAATAGGCCGATTTTGGGGACTTGGGCTCCTTAATTCAGGGGTTCCCAGCCAGGGGTGCTCACACTCCCCGGGAGTGCGAGATGTGGGTTTTCAAAATTATAGTGCATATGCATAATTTGTTGCTGTTGTTTCAACTTTTGTTAAGGGGTGCGAGAATATATCAGAAAAGGGTATAGAAAAGGTTAAACTCTGCAAAATCCCACAAGAATTGTCCACTTGACCGTGAGGAAAACCAAGATGGTCTCCTTACCTAAGAGGTCAACACTGGCATCTTGATTCTCCTGTTTGGTCTCCACGTATAGCATCCTCCACTCAGCCTCAGATCCAGCCTGGCTAATTCTGGAGATGGTTGCTGCTTCCTTCGATAATACCTATAAAGGAAATGGACAGCATTGCCCTCTCTCAGCCCCTCGGATGCTCGACAAAAAGGGTTAAAAACAGGCAGCCAACACTAACACAATCTTCAACCTTCAGGGATACCAGCTGTAGGTGTGGCCTCTAAAGCTCTTTGAGGCCATCAAGTCAGGACATTGGGGTACGCGTTTAGGGGCTGTAAGCTAAGCGCACTGGAGGGGTGTCAAAGGAGATAAGTAGTCCTCATTTAACATCCACTCATTTAACGACTGCTGAGAAATGCAACGGTGCCGAGTGAGGGGCATTTGCAAGGGGATGGCCTCTCAGTCAGGCATTTGCAAGGGGATGGCCTTCGCAGAGTCCCCCGTAATCACGTGATCGCGATTCAGGTGCTTGGTAACCGGCTCACAATTTCGGCGTTGCAGCATCCCGCAGTCATGTGATCCCCATTTGCGACGTTCTTTGCTGGCTTCGGACAAGCAAAGTCAACAAGGCAGCTAGCCAAAGGTCACAAATGGCGGTCACAAAGACCGTGGGATACTACGGCCGTGTGGCATCCGGTTAAGGACGACAACTGGACAGTCACGACTGCCGTCCTAGGTCGGTGTGATTGTGACCACGTCATTTAGCAACAGAGGTCCTAATTATGAGGGGTGCTTGGTGCTCTCTGAGCTTGGTGGTTTTCTTGCAGACATTTCATCATGCAAACGAGGTAATGTCAGGTAATATCATTAGTAATCACTGATGAGATTGGTAACAAAACATCTACAAGAAAAACCACCAAGGACTCCGCAGGTCAACCCTGAGCTACCAATATTTCTCCCTTATTGTTCCTAACTATCCTTGGTACACAAGCACTACCTATAATCATGTGGATGATAAACAGATCAAGGTAGGGTAATGAAAAATGAGTTGCATTATTAACTTGATGTAGATCAGTGGTTCTCAACCTTTTTAATGCCGCGACCCCCAACCGGTCGTAAGTCGAAGACTACCCAACCGGTCATAAGTCGAGGACTACCCAACCGGTCATAAGTCGAGGACTTTCCCTGCCTGGGAGTGCCGCGTACGCATGGTGCCACCTCCTGCGCCGGCCGAGGCGTAGCTGGCAAGCAGCAGAGACGGAGCAGGCCGAACACTGGCTGGGCCACCAGCTGGGCCCCACGCGCGCCAGCAACCCTCCCTGCACCCGCCGGCCTCCCACCTCCCACCCCTGGCCCTCTTTTACTTACATTTTTAGTAGTTGCTCAGCAGGAAAGGGTGGAATCTTCCAGACAGCTCACCTTCGCTGCAGACAATTTGCAGCACCATTTGCAGACTGGGGCTTTTGGCGGGCTCAGCAGGGCAGAGACAGCTTGGACAATTCCTATTGGCTTTTGAAAGCCAATAGAATTAGGCTCTATTCAAGAGAGTCTATTCTATTGGCTTTCAAAAGCCAATAGAATAAAAGGGAGTAGCACAGCTAAGGAAAAGGGGGGGGGGAATGGTAAACTGCGTTGTTTGGCGACCCCCGTGAAATGGTCGTTCAACCCCAAATGGGGTCGTGACCCACAGGTTGAGAACTGCTGATGTAGATGGTGAGAACTTATATCAGTGGTGGCGAACCTATGGCATTGGTGCCAGAGGCGGCACTCGGAGCCCTCTCTGTGGGCACACGTGCCGTTGCCCCAGCCTTGCCTCCCCCCGCGACCCCCTCACCAGTAGCCCCTTTGGAGGAGAGTCACCCCCAAGCGTGGCCCACGCGGAGCAGTGCAGCCAAGGACATGGCAGCCAGGCAGCGTAGACAAGACTCTGCCCTCACATCCCATCATGTAGTTGATGTTGCAGGGTGTGGGGAGAGGGCGTGGCCGGCATGGCACTGCTGGGCTGCCTGGGTGATCTGCGGTGGGCCCTGGATGCAGTGAGTGGCCCTGCGAGCAGGCGGGGTGGGGGCGGGGCAGGGGGTGGAGTGGGGACGGGGCCAGTTTTTGGGCACTCGATCTCTAAAAGGTTCGCCATCACTGACTTATATAAATAAAATGTGTATCCTGAATATTAGACTTTGGGAGGAAGGGCGAGAAAGGAATTGGGGTCATCTAAAGTATGGAAATGATCATTATTCAACGTTACATTTAAACATGAATGGGAAATTAAAACTGAGAAAAAATGATTAGGTCACTGATTGTCTAAAGCATTGGTTCTCAATCTGTGGGTCGGGACCCCATTTGGGGTCGAACGACCATTTCACGGGGGTCACCAAACAACGCAGTCCGCCATTTTTTTCCCCCTTTTCCTTAGCTGTGCTACTCCCTTTTATTCTATTGGCTTTTGAAAGCCAATAGAATAGACTCTCTTGAATAGAGTCTAATTCTATTGGCTTTCAAAAGCCAATAGGAATTGTCCAGGCTGTCTCTGCCCTGCTGAGCCCGCCAAAAGTCCCATTCTGCAAACGGTGCTGCACCAGTTGAGTAGTCCTCAATTTACGACCGGTTGAGTAGTCCTCGACTTACGACCGGTTGGGGGGGTCGCGGCATTAAAAAGGTTGAGAACCACTGGTCTAAAGACCGAAAGTTAAAACAACTATATTAACTAAAAATGATTGATAAATGTTAGAAAGTTACTTTCTATTTGATTGACAGAACAAGAATTGTATTAGTTAAAATAGGAGACGGTAGATATTAAGAGAGGAAGAATGGGGATGGTAACAGTTTGAGATCTGTACTAATGATGTCTATCTGTAATAGAATTATTGTACCCAGCCGCCACATTGCTTTCAAATATTCAAATGTAATATTAGAAAATCAATAAAAATTTACAAAAAAAAAAATAAGAAAAATGAGTTGGGCAAGGACTCTGCCCTGGTTCAACTCTGACACCCGTGTTCCTCACACCTCGTTAAAAAAAGAACAGACTGAAATACCCCTGCCTGGTTTCCCCACATGCTCGGCTCTTCCTTCTCCCCAAGGAAGTCTTCAACCAAGGCCACTGCCTGCGAGCAACTCTCCGGGCTGCACGCTCGGACCCAGCGCTGCATCTCCGGAGGTAGGATGGCTAGGAACTGCTCCAGAATCAGCAGCTCCACAATCTGCTCTTTTGTGCACGTGTCCGCTTTCAGCCACCGCTGGCAATGTTCCTGGAGTCGGCTGTAAGCCCCTCTGGGCCCCTCAGCTTCCTGGTAACGGAAGCGCCGGAAATGCTGGCGCTGTTCCTCCCGCCGCCGGGCGTCCCTTTGCAAAATGGCCACCTTCACTTTCCCGTAAACCCCCTTGCTGCAGCCTTCCAGGCTCAGAAAGGCCTGCTCAGCCTCTCCGCTCAAAGCCGGCTGGAGTCGGGCTACCCATTCCTCCTCGGGCCACCGACAGGCTTGGGCCACCTGCTCAAAGGAGCCCAGGAAGGCCAAACTATTTTCCCACGGATCCACGGGTGATTTAGAGCTCCCCGAACACGGGGTCTCCACCGTCTTCAGGAACTGCTGCCACTGAGCTTCCCACTGCTGGAGGGATCCCTCGTCCGGTTCCCGCTTGATCTCTCTCCCCGTCCTTCGGGCGGGGGTTCCCCCTCCGCGAGGATAGTCTTTCTTTGGTGGGTGATCCCTGAGGTCCTGCTCTTCCATTGTCCTTCTCAAGAGGGTCTCCAGGCAAAAGACCCACCCAGCCCGACGGTCCAAAACCTGCCCCAGGATCTAAACCGTTGCGGCCGTACTGGCATCAAGAGCAGGTCCTCAGGTTACGATCTCCGAATTGTCGTTGGTCAAGGAAGAAAAGCTAAAGACACAAAAGGAATTTGCAAATCAGCCACAGGGAATGCTGGGGGCTTGAGGTTGCTGGGGTTTTTAATCTTACATTATTAAATAAGCTAAAAAAAGCAAAAAAATATTACTATTATTCATATTAATAATAACACAGCACCGCGCTGGGGGGTGGTTGATTCATTAAGGGAGCAATCCCACCTCCCTCCCTGCACATCCTGCTCCCTCTTTCCCCATTTTTTTAAACTATAATTTTATCCTTGATTGTGATTCCGTTTTTATTGCTTTAGAAATATTTTATTTTCTGATTCTAATGCTTTCAATGTTGTAAGCCTCCCAGACTGGTTTCAATGGGTGGCAAGTAAATCTAATAAATAAATAAAGTGACAAACCAAGCCATCCCCTAGCGCTGATGATGTTACCTCGTCAGGTAATGAAATGTCTGCAAGAAAACAAGCAAGCTCAGAGAGCACCAAGGACCCCTCATTTCAACCCTGAGAATACAAATATTCTCTTTTATTCAAGCCACCCCCTCCCGCCTCTTGAGAAGAAAGAATGGGATCAACATTCTTCCAATCAGCATACTTCCAATAATACAACTGAGGCAGGATCTCTCCCTGCCCTACCCCACAAGGTTGTTGTTGGGTGATAAAATGGGGATTTCTATTCACGCCTCCTTGAGCGCCTGAAGGAAAGGGCTAGGAATGAACATGAACGAATAACACTAGCAATAATGATAACAATGTGTATATTTAATGCATAACATTATTGTATGATGTTTTGTATATGTGCATGCATAATATGCACATTGTATTATAATGTACAATGCATAATGTATATATATAATAATAATAATGTGATATTAGGAACGATCAAATTTACCTGCTTGCTTTTTAGCATTTCCATATTTTTTCCCCTTTGCACTACAAAGGCATCAAACTGTGTTGTAATCCTTGCTTTCTGCTCACAGGCGTTGCTTCAGCTTTGTTCTTCCTTCCAACTCTACGCAATCGTGTTTTTAAAATACAAAGTGGAGAAACCCTTGCTGGGAAGTAGATAGGCTTCCTTACCTCCCAAGTTCCATGCTTTTTTTTTTTTTACAGTCCATTTCCGGGGGGGGGAGGAGACAGGCTAGGACAGGGGTGGGAGAACCTTGGCTCTTTTATGACTCGTGGACTTCAACTCCCAGAATTCCTGAGCCAGCCAAGCTGAGGGGGAAAGGGAGAGGTTTCCAAGCTGAGCCATGCTGGCTCAGGAATTCTGGGAGTTGAAGTCCATGAGTCATAAAAGAGCCAAGGTTCTCCCACCCCTAGGCTATATAAATTAGAATAGCCCTTAGACCAGGGGTGGGCAACCTTGGCTCTTTTATGACTCGTGGACTTCAACTCCCAGAATTCCTGGCTCAGCTTGGAAACCTCTCCCTTTCCCCTCAGCATGGCTGGCTCAGGAATTCTGGGAGTTGAAGTCCACGAGTCATAAAAGAGCCAAGGTTGCCCACCCCTGGGCTAAGGAAGAAGACTGCAATGTTCACATCTTTTTGCAATTTTTTTTTTCAAAGCCAAAAGGAGACGCGTCCCATCTAGCCCTCCACCGGTTAGATCTTTCTGATCGTCTCTCTCGCTCACTCGCTCGCTTTTTTTTTTTTTTTTTTTGTGGAAAGGTTTTGATGGCGGGAGATCCTTTGTCCTCGTTGCTAAGCAAAAACAGATATATTTGTGCTCTCCCCAAGGGACCTCTGCACGCTTTGCAAGCGCTCCTTCCTTGCCACAAAGCAGTGTTTGGGGAGGGGCAGAACAAAGCCTACTGTAACCTCGAAGTGAAAGCTGGTGGTCGCAGTTTACACAGTGCTAGCAAAAGCATACACAAGAAAGGGGCCCACGATCATTTAAAGAGCTTTCTTCCAATTGCTGCCCCTAATTTTGATTGCAAAATATGCATCAGATACACATACAAAATATGCATCAATATACACATAAAAAATGGTGGCTAGCAGCCCCATTCGTGCATGTGCAAATGGGCCACACGCACACACGCGTGCACCCTGCAAACAGGGCTAGCAGCCCTGTTTGCACCTGCGCACATGCGCCACTGGGGCCATGGGTGCTAGCACGAGTGGGGGGATGCAAGCCCATGCGTGCGCGCACCGGCCAGCCATTTCCATGGCCCACTGGCCAACAGCCCGCAGCCCGGTCCTGGTCTGCAGCCCATAGGTTGGGGACCCCTGTAGTAGACCACTACATATACTTCGGCCAACGGATCTCAATGGAAATTGAATGTCGTGTTTAATAACGGGAACTGAACGGCGTGTTAAATGTGGTTGGCAAGCATTCGGCAAGCTAAGCATAATTTTCAAGATCAGTGTGTGCTACCTACTCTAATATATGCCAGTGAAAGATGGACACTAACCGCACAATCAATACAAAAGCTAGGAATGGCGCAAAGAGCCATTGAAAGATTAACATGCTTGGCATCACAAGACAAGCGCTAGAAAGACCCGCACATGGATTGGAGAACGAATGAAAGTATAAGATGCCATCAAGAGAGTAAAAGAATTGCAATGGAAATGGGCTGGCCACATCACAGGAAGAGCTGATGGCAAGTGGGACCCAGGCAGGCACAGAGGGATTATATTTTTAGATTTTAGGTTATTATTATTTTGATTTGTCCAGCTGCCCATCTCAGTCACCGAGAGGGGGGCACCCAACAATTTTAAAAAATCCCCTTAAAAGCAGGTTAAAAAAACAATATATACATAAAAAAACCTCCCGTAATTACTGTTAGAATCCCACACATTGTAACATGGTTGGACTAGAAGACCACCAAGGTCCCTTCAAATCCCATTAATCTATTTTCTAACTATAATGACTGAATTCACACAACACACTAAACCCAAATACAGGCAGTCCTTGACTTACGATCACTATTGAGCCCAGAATTTATGTTGTTAAGTGAGAAATTTGTTAATTTTGCCCCATTTTGCGACTTTTCTTGCCACATTTAAGTGAATCCCTGCAGCGGTTAAATTAGTAATCCAGTTGTTAAGTGAATCTGGCTTCTCCATTGACTTTGCTTGTCAGAAAATCACAAAAGGGGATCACATGATCCTGGGACACTGCAACTGTCATAAATGTAAGTCAGCTGTCAAACATCCGAATGTAAATCACATGACCATGGGGATGCTGCAATGGTCATAAGTCTGAAAAACAGTCATAAGTGACTGGTTGCAACTTCGAGCAGTCACTACAAAAAAGAGGGAGTCAAGCTATTCTCCAAGATGCCTGAAGGCAGGACAAGAAACAACGGATGGAAACTAAATCAAGGCGAGAAGCAACCTAGAACTAAGGAGAAATTTTCTGACAGTTGGAACAATTAACCAGTGGAACAACCTGCCTCCAGAAGCGGTGAATGCTCCAACACTGGAAGTTTTTAAGGGGCTGGACAGCCATCTGTCCGAAATGGTGTAGGTTTTCCTGTCTGAGCAGGGGGTTGGACTAGATGACCTCCAAGGTCCCTTCCAACTTGATGATGATGATGAAGATGATGAAGATGAAGATGATGATGTTGAGGACTACCTGTAATTGAAAAAACACAAGCCGGCTTGCGGTCATCCAAAACACACGTGGCTGTTTCACTGGAATCTCACCTCTCGCCATTTGCACGCCCAGCCAACAACCAAATAGGTGAGAAACAAAACAATGTCGGTTTAAAACGTACACAAGCCGAAAAAAAGAGCCGTTAGTGAAAGACAGAGAAGCTTTTTGACGCCGCAGGTTTAAAAATCCCCTTTCGGCCGGGAGGGGGAGCTAGAAAACGCGGCAGCAAATCGACAGAGCCGCAACATCCTAGAAGGGCTCCGCCCAAAGACCACAGAGTTGACGAAGGAATCGGGGAGGGGCAAACCAGTCCCGAACGCTAGACTTCCGGCCTGGCTCTTCAAGCGGGGCATTTCTCTCCCCCCCCCTCCAATCGTGGGTGTGTGTGTGAAGCCCGTCCGGCTCCCTCGTGCTCCGGAGCAGGGAAGCGGCGGCGGTGCAAAAGGGGTGAGTTGCGGAGAAGGACGCTCATATCTGGCCGAGAGAAAAGAGGCGCAAGCAAACAGGCGTAGGCTGGAGATTTAAAAAATTTCCTCCCCCCCCCCCTCTTCTGGGAGATTTTTGCAAAGCCATCTTAAGCTAGCAGCTCGATCCCAAAAGATCCCCGGGATTTGCTGCTCCATTAACTGGGAAAGGGTCCTCAGGAGATCGCCTCTGGCAAGGAGCTCGGGGACTGCTGCCCCAGGGATAAGCAATTAATGCGTAAAATCTGTTATTAGATAATGAACTTTTGACTTGCCTCGAGAGACTTGCCAGGAGATGTAAAACAAAGTCGCGGACGGAGCCGGGGGGGGGGGATTTAATGCAGATTTAATTAAATCGGCCTTCCTTAATGGGAGGCCCCCCCCACCACCACCACCAAAAATCTCTTAATATTGGGAAAGGTGGAAAGAAAGTGATGGGCTGAGGGCGATGAGCTCTTCTCTTTCCTTCCACCTTTCCCAGTATTAGAGATTTTTGTGATAAGCAAGTGTGAAATTACTTTTTTACAATTTTAATATTTATAAGATCACGTGAAGTACTAGTATATTTACAATTCTAATATTTATAAGATCACGTGAAGTACTAGTACTGCTTTATAATGACCTTAGTAAAACCACACCTGGAATACTGCATCCAGTTTTGGCCACCATATTATAAAAAAAGATATTGAGACTCTGAAAACGGTGCAGAGAAAAGCAACAAAGGTAATTAGAGGGCTTGAGACTAAAACATATAATGAACTGTTGCAGGAATTGGGTATGGCCAGTCTAGAGAGAAGAAGGATTAGGGGGGACATGACATTGTTGTAATTAGTTGTGAAGTCGTGTCCGACCCATCGCGACCCCATGGACAACTTTCCTCCAGGCCTTCCTGACCTCTATCATCTTCTGGAGTCCATTTAAGCCCACGCCTACTGCTTCAGTGATTCTATCCAACCACCTCATTCTCTGTCGTCCCTTTCTTCTATTGCCCTCGGGGACCTGATAGCAGTATTCCAATATTTGAGGGCCTGCTGCAAAAGGGAGTGGGTCAATCTATTCTCCAAAGCACAAGAAGTCAAGACAAGAAACTATGGATGGAAACTAACCAAGGAGAGAAGCAACCAAGAACTAAGGAGAAATTTTCTGACAGAGCAATCAACCAATGGAACAGTTTGCCTTCATAAGTTGTGGGTGCTCCATCCCTGGAGACTTTTAAGGACAGCCATTTGTCTGAAATTGTACAGAGTCTCCTGCTTGAGTAGGGGGTTGGAGTAGACTAGAAGACCTTCAAGGTCCCTTCCAACTCTGTTATTCTCTTAAATAATTATTCTGCTCAAAGAGGAGGGGGCATGGACTCCGTAACAGAGGCAATGAGGCCATTGTGGGAAGAGTTAAGTACCTAGTTAGAGACACATCATCAAGGAGAATATCTATGTGATTGCTAAGAGTTGACAGCAACTTGATGGCATGTAATCAATCAGCCACTCCTATGCTACATTTACATAATGTGAACCTTTAAAATAAAGTATTATGTTCACAATGGCCTGTGAAGCAAACATCCCAATTGCTCCGGCTTTGAGATGATCATAAAAGAAATAGTTACTTTATTTGTGTCCTTGATGGTAATTATTGTTGGAATCAAGGATTGAGGGGGAAGTGCAAAATCCCAGTATGCATTCAGCCTGTGTTCATATACTTTTGGAGTTTAGAATACGAATCAAGGCTGTAGTACTCATGATAAATGAATGTTGGATTGCTGGCAAGGTTCCTCATTGTTAAGAGGGACAGGTAAGATGGCAAGTTTTCTATTAGCATATTCTTGATTTCGAGAGAATTTGAGCATGTGGGGAACTTACCATCATCCTAAATATTTATAGGAACAAGCCTATGTTGAATTTTTTTATGTCTCTAATTTGCAGGCCACTTTAGCTGACTGTGTTCAGCAGGTCAGCAGTTCAAATCTCACCGGCTCAAGGTTGAATCAGCCTTCCATCCTTCTGAGGTAGGTAAAATGAGGACCCAGATTGTTGGGGGCAATGTAAATATATATATACATTGCTTACTGGTGTTCACCGCTTAGAGAGTGCTTGCACTTAAAGCGGTATATAAGTCTCATAAATAAATAAATAAATTTTTATGAGATTTTTGCATCCAGAATAGCAAAATAATATCGTTGGAAGGGACCTTGGAGGTCTTCTATATCATTTCAGACAAACGGTTGTCTAATCTCTTCTTAAGAGCGTCCCGTGTTTAGGTGCCTTTTTCCTTTATCCGTATCTCGCCTCCTGTCATTGAGCACTTCCCTTTAAGAAAGCTTTTATCAAAAGAATTTCAGGGTGTCCACTTAGATTTCTCCCGTTCATCTAAATATCTGCGATCAAAACTAAACAGAGTTTAGTCACAGAGTCCAATTACTAATAATTATTTGTCAGTTAGATCTCTTGTATTCTCTTTGCCCTCCACATTTCTTTTTCTCTATTAAATGCAGTATATCTGTAATGGTATGTGTGGGGTGACTTTGAGGAAATGGGAGGAAGTGATGTTGGCTAGGAGGCAGGAGCCCTCAGTGGCTCAAGAGCCAAGAGAAAGGAAGGAAGGACCCATCCTAACGGATCAAGCTATTAAAAAGTGGTGGCAGGAAGTTTGTCCTTGCAGACTTGCAAGGTTCTGTTAATGTAGCTTCCAGTAAAGTAGAATTAGTTCATCTAGTTGTGATTCCTGTCTGAGTTACACGGGAGGGCTGATAGTATCAGATCGTGCAGTGATTCACTTAAGAACTGTGGCAAGGAAGGTTGTAAAACGGGGCACAAGACACTTCAGTAACTTTTGCCCCAGTAACCTTTGTTACTTTTGTTACTGCTACCATTTACCAACAGACATTTTGGGCTCAACTGGTCGTAAGTCAAGGACTACTTGTATATCCTGCACAGACTAATAATTGGGACCCAGAAGCCAGTCACTAGACCAGGGGTGGGCAACCTTGGCTGTTTTATCACTCGTGGACTTCAACTCCCAGAATCCCTGAGCCAGCATGGCTCAGCTTGGAAACCTCTCCCTTTCCCTTCAGCATGGCTGGCTCAGGAATTCTGGGAGTTGACGTCCACGAGTCATAAAAGCCAAGGTGGCCTACCCCTGCACTAAATGAACTGTTACAAGTCGAGGACTATCTTTACTTATAGAGTTGTGAAAAACATAGGGATCCTGCCAGACGCATTTTTGCTTTTCTTCCACTCATCCGTGAGGGAAATTTAAAAAATAAATAGCTATATTCATTAGGAGGACTTCCATCTTCAAAGAAAAATTATCTCCAAATAAGAGATATATGAACAAGCTTGGAAGCTGTTGCTTTCTTTCCATGTGGACCACCCAGAAATCTGATTGGCCATTGCTGGAAGAAAGGGGCTGGGCTACTTCAAGGAATTGACATCATGATGATGATGGAAGATATCTTGGAGGTCATCTAGTCCAACCCCCTGCTCAGGCAGGAAACCCTATACCAGTGATGGCAAACCTTTTAGAGACCGAGTGACCAAACTACAACCAAAACCCACTTATGTATCGTCAGGTGCTGGGTGGGCGTGGCTTCAGTGATAACGGCAGACTGGGTGGGACTAAAAAGTTCAATCAATCAATTCCAACTTTGCAAAATCTTTTTTTTTCCCCACGAGAAGTTGAAGTTGATTGATTGATTGAACCTTTTTTTTTTTTTTTGCACACGGCAGTGGAGGCCTAAAGCGAAAAGTTTTTATAAAACCCAGCTGAAGGCCTCGGACTGGGGCGACGGTGTGTGTGCCCACCACAGCCCTATAGCATTTCAGACAAATGGCTGTCCAGTCTCTTCTTAAAAACTTCCAGTGTTGGAGCAGGAAGTTTCTCCTTAGTTCTAGGTTGCTTCTCTCCTTGATTAGTTTCCATCCGTTGCTTCTCATCCTGCCTTCAGGCGCTTTGGAGAACAGCTTGATCCCTCTTCTTTGTGGCAGCCCCTGAGATATTGGGACACTGCTATCATGTCCCCCCTCGTCCTTCTCTTCATTAAACTAGACATACCCAATTTCAGCAACCGTTCCTTATATGTTTTAGCCTCCAATCCCCTTATCATCTTTGTTGCTCTTTGCACTCTTTCTAGAGTCTGAACATCTTTTTTTACATCGTGGTGACCAAAACCAGATGCAATATTCAAAGGCCTTGTAAAGTGGTATTTTCACGTGATCTTGATTCTATCCCTCTGTTAATGCAGCCTAGCACTGTGTTGGCTTTTTTGGCAGCTGCAGCACACGGCTGGCTCATACTTAAGTGATTGTCCACTAGGACTCCGAGGTCCCTCTCACAGTTGCTACTATTGAGTGAGGTATATATACTGTACTATACTGTACCTGGTGCATTTGATTTTTCTTGCCTAAATGTAGAACCTTATTTTTTTCACCATTGAATTTAATTTTGTTAGATAGCGCCCAGTGTTCAAGTCTGTCCAGATCCTTCTGTATCTTAAGCCTGTCTTCTGGAGTGTTGGCTATTCCTGCTATCATATCACCCCACGTCCTTTTCTTCATTAAACTAGACAGTGGACCAAGCAGAGTCCTTGTGTAACAACAACAACAACAACAACAATAATAATAAAGTTGGGAAGGACCTTGGAGGTCATCTAGTCCAACCCCCTGCTCAGGCAGGAAACCCTATACCATTTTGGACACATGGCTGTCCAGTCTCTTCTTAAAAACTTCCAGTGTTGGAGCATTTACTGCTTCTGGAGGCAGGCTGTTCCACTGATTAATTGTTCTCACTGTCAGGAAGTTTCTCCTTAGTTCTAGTTGCTTCTCTCCTTGATTAGTTTCCACCCGTTGCTTCTTCTCCTGCCTTCAGGTGCTTTGGAAAATAGCTTAATTCCCTCTTCTTTATGGCAGCCCCTGAGATATTGGAATACTGCTATCATGTCCCCCCTTGTCCTTCTCTTCATTAAACTAGACATACCCAATTCTAGCAACCGTTCCTTATATGTTTTAGCCTCCAGTCCCTAATCATCTTTGTTGCTCTTCTCTGTACTCTTTCTAGAGTCTCAACATCTTTTTTACATCGTGGTGACCAAAACTGAATGCAGTATTCCAAGTGTGGCCTTACCAAGGCATTGTAAAGTGGTATTAACACTTCACGTGATCTTGATTCTATCCCTCTGTTAACGCAGCCTAGCACTGTGTTGGCCTTTTTGGCAGCTGCAGCACACTGCTGGCTCATATTTAGGTGATTGTCCACTAGGACTCCGAGGTCCCTCTCACAGTTATTACTATTGAGCAAGGTACCACCTATACTGTACCTGTGCATTTGATTTTTCTTGCCTCAATGTAGAACCTTACTTTTTTCCCCATTGAATTTCATTTTGTTAGATAGCGCCCAGTGTTCAAGTCTGTCAAGATCCTTCTGTATCTTAAGCCTTTCTTCTGGAGTGTTGGCCATTCCTGCTATCCTGTCCCCCCTCGTCCTTCTCTTCGTTAAACTAGACATATCCAATTCCAAAAACCGTTCTTTATATGTTTTAGCCTCCAGTCCCCTGATCATCTTTGTTGTTCTTCTCTGTACTCCTTCTAGAGTCTCGACTGTGTTTGCGTTCATAGGCACGATGATGCCTGGACAAGACCAGTATCCTGGAGGAGAGAGCCAGCCCCCCCTAACACCAGTGCTATTCTCCAGAAGCATAGCTACTCAACAGGAGGTGAAGGTGGAAAATCAAGAAGATTTGGGCCAACTCTGGGAGAGTCAGTGGCAGGAGTTCCTCACTAACGTGGAAGTCCCCCAGATCCTTCCAGAGCCTTCCCCGTGGGAGGACGCTCACATCTTCCTAGCCTCCTTCGAACAAGTCGCCAGAGCTTTCCAGTGGCCCAAGGAAGAATGGGCAGCTCACCTCCGGCCCACCCTCAGAGGAGACGCCGAGCAAGCCTACAGCAGCCTGGCGCTGGGAGACAGAGAGGATTATGGGAAAATGAAGGCAGCCATCTTGCAGGCCGACGCGGTAAGCCGGGAGAAGCAGCGGCAGCGCTTCCGACGTTTCTGCTACCAAGAGGCCGAAGGGCCGAGGCAGGTGTACAATCAGTTGCAGAGTCTTTGTCGTCAGTGGCTAAAAGTCGAGAGACACTCGAAGGAACAGATTCTGGAGATGCTGATCCTGGAACAGTTCCTGGCCATCCTTCCCCCGGAGATGCAGAGCTGGGTCAAGAGACACAACGCAGAGAGCAGCGCTCAGGTCATCTCCCTGGCCGAGGATTTCTTGCTCACGCAGTGGGTGCCGGGGATAAGAGAACAAGAGGTATGTGTGGAGCTCGTTTTGTTGTTGTTGTTTTTTTTCCCCCGAGACGTCGATTGCAATCTGACAGGAAACCGCTAAGTTGAACGAAACTCAAACAGCTCTGAACTCCTAATGAAACAGCCCCATTTGGAATCTCAGTTTGGAGCATTCTGATAAAACGTGAAATCTAGCAAATAATAGGAATACAAAACCATCCGTTTCTCCTTCCAGAAAGGCCTCTGCAGCTGAGAATGGAGCTACAGATTCCGCCCGGCCTACACAATCCGGAAGGCCTCTGACGACGAAATGCAGGCCGGGCGGAATCCGTAGCTCCGTTCTCAGCTGCAGAGGCATTTCCTTCGGTCCCAAAAGTGGCCCCAGCTGGGCAGGGGCTGTCGGGGCCGCTACCGCAAGGTGAGTGGAAAAGACCACCCTTTCCCAAAATAAGACCTGGTGCCTCATTTTTTGGGAGGCAAAAAAAAAATTAATAATAATAACACCGGGTCTTATTTTCGGGGAAACACGGTAAGTGCCGTTGCTATTATTGCCACTGTCTTTAGCAGTCTCTCACATCCGCTTGGTTCTTCCTGTAGATGGGAGAGGAACTCGGTCCTAGATCTGAAAATATTCAGTCCCTGGAGAGAGGGCCGTCTGACGCCGGGCCGAAAATACAATTTGCCAGGGAGCTGAAGATGGAAGAAGATGCCGATGCAGGTAAGTTTGGACGCGTTTATTTTAATTAAAAGCATCTGGTTTTTTTTGTTTTGTTTTTTTTGGCTGGGTAGTGGTGTTGTCCAATCCAGGGGGTGAGACTCTGGGTCAGCATTTAAATTCAACTATCTGCATCTACTAATGCTCTTGTCCTTCTGCTCCAAAGCATAAAGATGTTTTTGTCCTGACTCCTTCCTTACAATAAACGCAGTGTTTCTCAACCCTGGCCACTTTAAGATACATGGACTTTATCTCCCAGAATTCCCCAGGCAGGATAGCCTGTCGAGATTGATGGTCCGTTATACGTTTGGAACAACTGGTTGTTAAGCAAGGACTACCTATATATAAGAGTACAGAGAAAATAATAATAATAATAATAATAATAATAATAATAATAATAATAATGGGAAGGAATAATTATGGAATAATTATAATTATGGAATAATTATAATAATAATTATGGAAGCAGTTCCAAGTAAGGCGGCCTTACTAGGAACTGCTTCCATCCTGCGACGATACCTGTAATACCATCAAACATCCACATCTGCCTATCCCAGGTCCTGGGTAAGGACTCGATAGGTAGACAAAATGCCAAATCCAGTCTGAACATCTGGCTGACTGTGCGATGATCAATAATAATAATAATAATAAAAAAAAACTGGTGGGATCATAAAATAGAGAAAGTCATAGAAAATGATAAAATTAAACTGCTCTGGGACTTCAGAATTCAAACAGACAAGCACCTGCAACATAACACCCCAGACTTAACAATTGTCGATAAGAAAGACAAAAAAGTCTGGATAGTGGACGTGGCAGTGCCTGGAGACAGCAGAATAGAAGAGAAAGAACTGGAGAAGATAACAAAATACAAAGACCTACAAATAGAAATAGAAAGACTGTGGCAAAAGCAAGCAAGGGTAGTACCAATAGTCATAGGCTCCTTGGGTGCAATCCCAAAACAACTGGAGCACCACTTGAACACCATTGGCATTGACAAATTCGCTATTAGTCAATTGCAAAAGGCGGCCTTACTAGGAACTGCTTCCATCCTGCGACGATATCTGTAATACCATCAAACATCCACATCTGCCTATCCCAGGTCCTGGGTAAGGACTCGATAGGTAGACAAAATGCCAAATCCAGTCTGAACATCTGGCTGACTGTGCGATGATCCATAATAATGATAAAGTTGGAAGGGACCTTGGAGGTCATCGAGTCCAACCCCCTGCTCAGGCAGGAAATCCTATACTATTTCAGGCAAATGGCTATCCAGTCTCTTCTTAAAAACAAAACCACGCCTCCGCCGATCCACGGAAAAACCTCTCTCCACGGAACCGGTCCCAGGTGCCCAAAAGATTGGGAACCTCTGCCTTATACCGTTTCAGATAAATGGCTGTCCAGTCTCTTCTTAAAAACTTCCAGTGTTGGAGCATTCACCGCTTCTGGAGGCAGGTTGTTCCACTGATTAATTGTTCTAACTGTCAGGAAGTTTCTCCTTAGTTCTAGGTTGCTTCCCTCTTTGATTAGTTTCCATCCATTGCTTCTTGTTCTGCCTTCCGGCGCTTTGGAGAAGAGTATAAAGAGTAAGAGATAAAAAGTACAGACGAGCAACAAAGATATTTAGGAGACTAGAGGCTAAAATATATGAAGACCATTTGCAGGAATTGGGTATGTCTAGTTTAATGAAAAGAAAGACTAAGGGTGACATGATAGCAGTGTTCCAATATCTTTGCCACAAAGAAGAGGGGCTTGGCCTGTTCTCCAAAGCACCTGAAGGCAGGACAAGAAGAAATGGATGGAAGCTTATCAAGGAGAGAACCAACCTAGAAATTTCCTGACAGTGAAAACAATTAATCGGTGGAAGTCCTCCAGAAGTTGTGGGTGCTTCAACACTGGAGGTTTTTAAGAAAAGATTGGACAGCCATTTGTCTAAAATGGTATATGGTTTCCTGCTTGAGCAAGGAGTTGGTCCCTCCCAACTCTATTATTCTGTTACAATATCTTTGTATTGTATGATGTGGTTCCGGCTAATGAAACATTCCAAAGAACTTCCAGGCATTTATTTTCCTAAAAGTCTTTTATTGTTACAAATTTCGGCACAGGCACAACGGAAGGATGCTAGGATCTAAGTTCTCTTCCTCTGAGCAGTTAAATTATCAGCATGTTCCCTCCCTAAATTCGCTGTCATATCTCATACTATCCAATTAGTGTGAAGGTCAAATGTTTTCTTCCTCTTTCTTTCCCGGGCTTTACCCCCAACGTCCCTTCTGCTCTTTATTAACCCCATATTTACCAGACAATTCTGCATATTGTCAAAAGAAAGAATATACAATATTTGCAGCGTTGACATTGTTTTCCTTTCTTGTTATCAACTAGTAAAGGTTTTCTTTTAATTCTGGGCACAACATCCAGGAAATACTTGCTTCGCAATCCGATTTCATGATGCTTATTAGTTCTGTTAAGCCTATTCTCGTGGCCCTTGAGTATTCTCTCATTGGAGATGCATTTGTCATTTCTGCAGGTACCTGGAGGCTGCACGAGAATGAAAATCACCTGCAGGGAAGACCAAAGCAAGCAGAGCAACACGGGGTGGCCCCAGAGAGAGCTAATAGCATTGCTCCAGAACGTTGTGATCCAGAAGAGGCCCTTGGAGGACAGCAGGGTGTCTATCGCATGGAGGAAAGACCTTTCATCATAAATTACGAGCAGGCAGGTAGAAAAGCAGAAATTATTGTCTTCTGTTCAGACACGCAGAAGGAGAGAAGGAGAAAACATTGCTTGGTGTGCGGGAAAAGTTTCTCACGAAACTCAGCCCTGACCCGGCACGAAAGGATCCACACGGGGGAAAAATCATACAGATGTTTCCAGTGTGACAAAAGTTTCTATGATAAGACAGCCCTGAAAAGACATCAGAAAACCCACAGTACCGTGCGAGGATACGCTCAGGGCTCTCACGCCCAGCCAGGTGAGAATTTACCTCTCTCTTCCCCAGAGAACATTGCACGGAACTTTTGCAGCGTGTGTGGGGAACACTTTGACAGTGCACTGGATCTCAATGTACATAGAAGGATTCACCAGGAGCAGAATCCCAGTGGCAGTGGAAAGACATCTGGGAAAAGCCAAAGTCCAGAGCTGAAGAAACACCCGACGGTCCTCCCTGTGCGGAAAACCTACAAGTGTCCGGAGTGTGAGAAAAGCTTCATTTGGGGTTCATCGTATCACAGGCATAAAAAGATCCATTTGAGGAACAAATCGGTCCCAGTTTCGTATGAAAAGAAAAGCTTCAAACAAGGGTCCCATCTCATGAAATTTCAGCCTTTCCCCATTGGAAAGAAACACTACAAATGCCCCGAGTGTGAGAAGAGTTTCCCGGCGCTCAAATCCTTGGAAAGACATAAAAAGTTCCACCAGAGAGCGAAACTAAAAAGCGCTTTGCAAAAGACACCCACGACAGAAGAAAAAACCTGTTCGGAATGCGGTAAGTTTTTTCATCGGCTGTCCCACCTAAGAAGACACCAGCGGATCCACACGGGCGAGAAACCCTACAAGTGCCCCAAATGCGAGGAGAGTTTCATGTGGCAGGGGTCTTTCGAAAGACATCTGAAGGCTCACAAGAAGCAGAAGTCGGCATCTCCGGCGCCAACATTGCCTGTTTTGAAGGAGAAACCTAATCAGTGTTCGGAGTGCGGGAAGACATTCAGACAGCACTCGGATCTCCTTCAACATCAGCGGATCCACACCGACGAGAAGCCTTATAGATGCACGGAATGTGGGGAGTCCTTCACGTGGCCTTCATCTCTCAACCTGCACCGGAAGAAAGTTCACAGGGGGAAGCGATTGGTCCCCCTCCTCCAAAAATTACCCCTGGGGCAAGGGAGATCCTACAAATGTTTCGAGTGCGGCAAAAGTTTTGACCGTTCCTCGAGCCTTATAAACCACCGGCGCACCCACGCCGAACAAAAGCCGTACTCGTGCACCAGCTGTGAGAAAAGTTTCATGTGGGCTCGCTCTCTTCTGAGACACCGAAAGATCCACGATGCCAGGAAACCAGGAGGCCCCTTGCCGAAACAATCCACTCCGCAGGAGAAATCCTGCGTTTGTTCCGATTGTGGGAAGCGCTTTGTCTATTCGTACCTCCTGATGCGGCATCGACGCATCCACACCGGAGAGAAACCGTACAAATGCACGAAGTGCGGCGAGAGCTTCAGGTGGGCTTCCTCATTTAACCTGCACCAAAAGAAGGCCCACCAGGACACGAAGACCACTCCTCTCCTCCCAAGACAGTCGGACAGGCAGAAAAAACCTTACGGGTGTTTGGACTGTGGGAAATACAGGATAACTTCCCATCTGTCAAGCCATCAGAGTACTCACACTGGGGAAAAGAAGCACAAGTGCACCACTTGTGGGAAAAGCTTCTTCTGGCAATCCTCGCTGGCGGAGCATCGCAAGGAGTTACATAAGACAAAGGCAAAGACAAAAGTCCCTGCTGAAGGGAAAACTTTCAAATGCTCCAAGTGCGAAGAGAGCTTTGTGGGGTATTCAGCTCTTCTGCGACATAGAAAGATCCACGAGAGAGATAAACTCGGGCTCTTTTTCCAAACAGGACCCGTCACCCCAGAGAAATCATATCCCTGCAATGAATGTGGGAAGAACTTCAATTGGCCATCCTGCCTCTTAAGACATCAGCGCATCCATTCGACGGAGAGACCCTGCCGGTGCCCTGATTGTGGAGAGAGTTTCAGGTGGGATTCCGCTCTTAAGGCACACCACAAGAAGATCCATAAACCAAAGGAGCCGGCGGTGTCTTTCCTGTCCAAAGACGCCGCCGTCAAAGGGAAAAATCACCCATGCGCGGAGTGTGGAAAAACCTTCACCTCTTTGTCGTCTCTCCTAAGGCATCGGAGTATCCACGGGGGAGAAAAACTGGAGAAATCCAGCCACTGCGGAGACAATGTCCCGTGGAATTCAGCCCTGCCAAAAAACCCAAAGGCCTGTAAGCAAGAGGAACCGGATTCCCTGCCTCAAAAGCTACCCAGCCGATGTGGAAGCACCTACCCTTGTCTCCAGTGTGGCAAAAAATTCTCCAAGTTGAAGCTGCTGCAGAAACACAAACGCCTCCACGTCAAGGAGAAGCGTTACACCTGCACTGAATGTGGGAAGCATTTCACTCAGTCCGCCAGCTTGAAAAGACACTGGTTCACTCACCAAGAAGAAAAGTCATTCCACTGCTCGCATTGCGAAAAAAGCTTCGTTTACAAAGACAGTCTCACGAGGCACGAGAAGTCCCACGCCAGGTTGACAGAGTTCACCGTGCAAGTGCTGGACAAAGAATTCCTCGCAACGTCGGAATCGCCCCAATTCGTAGCGCCGGAGCCCGGCGTGTGTGGCGGTCCCCTAGACCTCCAAGGGGAGAACCCCGTTCCCTCCTTGAATGCTCCAGAAACTGTGGTGACATGGTCTCAAAGCAGGCCAAACGATACAGGAGTTGGCATAGAGAAATTGTGCAAGCCTGAGGAAAGATCACCGACCCTGTCAGTTTTAGCAGAAGAAAACCTTCCGGAATCTTCTCTTAACCGTTAGCGTAATGAAAGCAGTGGTCCCAACAAAGCGAGCAGAATATCAGCAAACCCAAATTGAGTTTTGCCTTGTCTGGGGCCATGTTGGTTTGTGCTCCCTGGCTCCTTAACTATACTTTAAAAATTCTAGCGTGGATGCCCACCCGACATCTGGTTTTGTTATTGAACACAAAGTCATATCAGCTGTATATTAGTAGATGCAGATAGTTGAGTTGAATTGAGTTGGGTGGGGCAAGAGGGAACAGACTCAGGTTTTAAAAGATTTTAAAAAAAGGAAATACATTTGTGCCATGTCTTGTTTCGCAGAAGATACTGCGGTGTTGATTCTTGCTGTAAAACTCCTCAGAGATGTAATACAACGGTTGGGGATTCTTTTGCATTGTTTAACTTTTGTTGTCATGATCACAATCTGTTGTTTGTTCAGGTTTATGAAAGGGAACTACTAATAAATGCAACGTGCACATTGAAAGAATAGGGCTTGTGCTGTTCTTACTTAGCAATGACTTGAATGCCCCACCTCACAGTGCCAGAGTATATTTGTGAACATCCTCAGGTTCAATCTTGACACACCTGGGGAGATGAGAAGAAACCTGGAATCTGTTGGACCCACATTGGGCTAAGCCGTGATTTGTTTAAGCCATGTTCTGTTGAATAAACCATAATTAGCTGGTTCCCACAACATAACCTGCAGAAGTCACACTCAGCCATAATTGGGAAGGGAGTTGGTTGTTTTATTTGGAGCTCCCATGCTGTTGAATTCTGCCAGTCATTGTTGATGGCCTGGATGGAGTACAGATAATCCTCGACTTACGACTGTTCCTTTAATGACCATTTGAAGTTTAAAAGGCACTGAAAAAAGTGACCGTTCTTCACACTTATGAGCGTTGCAACATCTCTATGGCCACATGATCTGAATTTCGATGCTTGGCAACTGGTTCATATTTATGACGGTTGGCGTGTCCCAGGGTCACATGATCACCAGTTAATGGGGAAGCCAGATTCACTTAACTGCAGTGATTCGCTTAACAACTGTGGCAAGAAAGGTGATAAAATGGAGCAAAAGCCACTTAACCAATGTCTCACTGAGCAACAGAAATTTGGGACCTCAGTTGTGGCCTACCTGTATATACAAGCAGAGTAAAACGAGACTAATCTTGAAGGATGATTTAAAAAAAAAAAACATGTACGCAACTGTCGCATTGCCATAAGGAGGAAAGCATGTTTTATTATAAAGCCTCTTAGGGGGGCTCCATAGCCAAAGAGGACGGAGGTGTGAAAACAAAGAGAAAGAAGAACGGAGAGAAGATAAAACAGTTTTGGGGTTGTTGTTTTTTTTGAAGAATAAATACATTGCAAATAGATTAACTCTAGATCGCTCTAGAGACAAGCAGAAGTACCTCAGAATATAGGGATTCAACGCTTTCAGGATCTGTTCTCCGAGCTTGCTGTTTAGCTCCTGAACATTTCGTTACCAAACTAGGTAACATCTTCAGTGGGGTTTGGGGGGCTGAAGTGTCTCCACCAGTCCCAAGACCAAACCACCATCCAGCCTACAAACGAAGAAGACATTTCACCCAAAAACCCTGCTGAAGATGTTACTTAATTTGTTAACGAAACGTCCGGGAGCTCAACAGCAACCTACAACCCAAATTACAAATATTCTCAATAATTTCTTTCATGAGGACTAGCACCCCTGTACTTCAAGTGAATCTCAAGGAGGTTGAGAACAATATCCCGAAAACCCACTCAGAGGTGACCACTTGTACTTTCTAACCTCTTGGACCCACATCAGAGAGGGGGAAACAGTTGTGCGGAGGCTGATAGGTGAAAAAAAAAAAAGCTACATTCTCACACTTTACCTAACTCACTCTTTCTTCTCCCTGTCCATACCAGTTCGGGACTCTATGGGGGTAGAACTTGGGCATAAGATCTTTCTAGTTCAGTGTGTTTCAGACGTGGTAACTTTTAAGACGTGTGAACTTCAATTCCCAGAATTCTGGCAGTTGGAAGTCCACGTGTTTTAAAGATGCCAAGTTTGAAAATAACTGTCCTAATTGAACATTCTATCCCCTACAGGGGCCAATCAGATTCTTCCAATTAGAGGGCTACAAGCAGTGCAGGAAAATGGCTGCCCGACCCACTATACGGCCTTGTTATTACCTCAGATGATTGACAGCCACGAACGGTTGCTCAAACAGCACTGACCTTTCTTTTGTCGAGGCCACAACGAAGGATGTTGCATAAACAGTAACAGCAGCAGTACAGGCAGTCCTCGACTTACGACCACAATCTCCACTGCTAAGCAACGCAGTTGAGTCGCGTTCGATTTTACGACCTTTATTGCCTTTGTTGTTGTTGTTTTAAACGAAGCATTGCAATTGTTAAGTAAATCACATGGTCGTTAAACGAATCAGCTTCCCCTATTGACTTTGCTTGTCAGAAAACCAGCGGGCAAGTTCACAAATGGTGATCTCATGACCCCGGGATCTTGCAACTGTCATAAATACAAGTCAGTTGCCAAGTGCCTGAATTCTGATCCCGTGGTTGACAGTCATAAGCGTGAGGGTTTTTTTTTTTTTCCAGTGCTATTGCAACTTTGAACAGTTGCTAAACAAATAAGTTGAGGAATACCTGTGCCAAATTCTGGTTTGTGTGTGTGTGTGGGGCACTGGTTTCCTTTGGTTCAAGCATGAGAACCAGGGTTGTGTACAGGTAGTCCTGTTGTTTAATGACTCTTTCAAGTTATAACACGGAGGTCCCCAACCTCTTGGGCACCAGGGACTGGATCCATGGAGAAAGGTTTTTTCCACGGACCAGAGAGTGCGTGGTTTTGTGTGCTGCCTGCATCCCACGGATGTGGCTTTGCTTGTTTGTGTGGACCGGTTGCTGGCAAGCCGTGGACCGGTACCGAACCACGGACCGGGGGTTGGGGACCCCTGTTATAACAGATCTCTCTTGAGGTTCTTACAACCTAGTTCCAGAATTTGGACAGCTGCTGGGAAAAACAAAAGAGCATACAATTGGATAGGTCATGTGGGTGACCCGATTTACGACCGTCACAACTTACAGTCTTAAGTCGAGGACTACCAGTAATCACTCATCATTGTGCTGAGTGGTAGACTTTGACTTCCCTCCCTCCTTAGGTGTGGCTTGTTTGGTTGATCTACCTCAGTGGTTCTCAACCTGTGGGTCGGGACCCCATTTGGGGTCAAACGACCATTTCACGGGGGTCGCCAAACAACGCAGTCCGCCATTTTTTTCCCCTTTTCCTTAGCTGTGCTACTCCCTTTTATTCTATTGGCTTTTGAAAGCCAATAGAATAGACTCTCTTGAATAGAGTCTAATTCTATTGGCTTTCAAAAGCCAATAGGAATTGTCCAGGCTGTCTCTGCCCTGCTGAGCCCGCCAAAAGTCCCATTCTGCAAACGGTGCTGCACCAGTTGAGTAGTCCTCGACTTACAACCGGTTGAGTAGTCCTTGACTTACGACCGGTTGGGGGTCGCGGCATTAAAAAGGTTGAGAACCACTGATCTACCTGATCAAACCATTTTGCCAACCTCAAAAACTTTGCACGCGATAAAAGTAATGCCCTCATGTAGATTTGGGCATTCCGATTCTCTACCCCCAGATTAGACAGATTGCTCCCTGGCGTATTTGCTGACCGAATTTATTCTGCATTTTTTATTAAATTTCCTCTCCTCCTCTATAAAGACTAGGAATGGATGCTCTTTTTTTCCTGTTTTTTCCTCTCTTTTTTTGAAATGAGAACCTCTTTCGGCACCTCCCCAAAGCTAAAAAAAAAAAAAAAAAAAAGCCACAATTGTGTAGAACGGCGGAATTACTATCGGAGCAAAAGCAGAATTTGTCGCTGTTTTGACATGCCAAAAATCTTAAAATCCAACCCCCAGCTCCTCAAAAGAGACAGGTAGTCATAAAAAATAATAATTATAATAAATACTTGAGCTTTGTATAGCAGCTTTGAGCCATCAAAGCCCTTCACATATATTTATCTTGAAATAATAGAATGTAATCTGCCGAATGAACACATGGCAGTTTCTCAACCTTGATGGCTCTGGGAGGTGTGAACTTCAACTCCCAGAATTCCCCAGCCAGAGAGTTGAAGTTCACACATCTTAAAGCCATCAGGGTTGAGGAAACACTGCCCTATGGTAAGTTTGTTGTTACTATGCCCATAGTACAGATGGATGGGCTGCACTTGGGAAAAGCCAAAATAACAAGAGACATTCTACTTCCTAGCTGGTACATGACAAGCAGATCAAAAGACAAGTGCTGGGCAATGCCCTTTGGATCTGATTCCCAAAAGGTTTCTCTTAAATGCAAACAATGCCCGTCTGCCACCCCTTAAAGGCAGCTGGTGTTTGACATTAAGATCTTCCGAAATTGATCCATAGAAAAATCAACGGTTGCTCTAAATCAAGAGGTCTTCAAACCGGGCCACTTTTAAGACTTATGGACCTCAACTCCCAGAATTCCTCAGCCAGCCATGCTGGAATTCTGGAAGTTGAAGTCCCCAAGTCTTAAAAGTGGCCAAGTTTGAAGATCCCTGCTCTTAAGGGAGGGGTCCCCAACCTGTGGGCCATGGCCCATTGGCCACCGGGCCCGCATGAGGGGCTGGCCGGTGCATGTTTGCAGGCGGGCATAGTTGCACTTCTGGCCCCACTCGCGCGAGCGTCACAGGCATTCGTGACCCCATTCGCGCGAGCCGTCACGGTCCTACTGCGCGAGCTATGGTGGTTGTGTTCACACCCACACCCACACAAAACCATCCCTTCTTTCCCCTCCCCCCCCCCGATCCGGGCTGCCAACTCCGAACGGTTGGGGAACTCTGCTCTAACGGAATGAAGAAGGGGTTAAGCAGGTGCCTCCACTGCTCCAAAGTGCTTTGGGCGGTTCAAATCTGCATCCCTCTGCAACTCTTTAAAAAAAAAAGGCCCTCTCCTTTAGCCTCAAGATGGAGAAACCGTCTGACCCAGAATAAACATGCCTTGCTAACCAGGTCTTTCTCAGCTCTCCCAGTTTTGGTTTTGGGCAATTCAAATTGCTCCCACCGTAGTGAATCGCGTCCTGAGAGAAGCTATCGTTCCAAATGGGGTCACTGTATCAAATTGCCCTACTCTTGGAACTGATCAACTGGGCTTGGAACAAAGGATTCGCCAGAGGGACCGTCCGCCGGAATGAAGTTCCAGCTGACTTTTTTTGCAACTTTAGTGGGCCAACCTTGCCTGGGGTGGGACTACTGTGGATCTCATCCATCACTGGTCATCTGGAGAGGTTGATGAGCTCCCCCCCACCTCCAACCAAGCCCAGGGGCGACCATTTTGTTCCCCACTGAGGCGAAAACTGCGACGGATGCCATTCAGACGAGACGTTTGATGCCCTCCTCAGGAAAAGTCCCACGGCCGAGGCGCCACTAACCAACGCTCGCACCCGCTCACTCCCCCGAGTGCGTCTTTTTGTGTGCAATCAAGTACAGGCCTCGGGTGAAGCTTTTCCCGCAGTCCAAGCACTTGTAGGGCTTCTCGCCCCGGTGTGTCCGCTCGTGGGCCGTGAGGTTGGAGCTGCGGCGGAAGGCCTTCCCGCAGTCCGCGCAGCTGTAGGGCTTCTCCCCGGTGTGGGTCCGCTCGTGGACGATGAAATCCGAGCTCCACCGGAAGCTCTTCCCGCAGTCCAAGCACTTGTAGGGCTTCTCGCCCGTGTGGGTCCGCATGTGGGTGGTGAGGTTGGAGTTCCGATTGAAGCTCTTCCCGCAGTCGGCGCACTGGAAGGGCTTCTCGCCCGTGTGGATCTTCTTGTGGCGGATGAAGTGGGAGCGGTGGTCAAAGCTTTTCCAGCAATCCTGGCACTTGTAGAGCCGTTCTTCTGTCTGGATCCGCCGGCGGAGCACGACGCAGCGCTTCTGCCGGGGGCTCTCTTGGATCCTCTCCTGGAAAAGGATCCCGCCGAGATCTTTGTAGCCCACCCTACACGGGATCGCTTCGGAGCCTCTCTTGGTCGGCAGGGGGACCGAGGACTTTTCGGGCCTCAGCTCGTTCTCGGAAAATTTGCCCAATCCAGGCCGTGGCAAGAGGCTGTCCTGGTTCTTGGGAAGCGACGTCCTGCCGGCCGACTCTCGATCAAGGTAACCTTGGGCCCAGAGAGATGGCCGCTCCTGTTCATTCAACAGCCTGCCCCCTGCTGGAGGAAGAATAGAAGGATACAGTGAATTTGTGGGAAAAACTTACAGGTAGACTCGACCTGTTCCAAGGTTCTACAGATAGTCCTCGACTTACAACAGTTCACAACAGTTGGTTTAGCGACCGTTCAAAGTTACAACGGGACTGAAAAAGATGATTTATGACCGTTTTTCACACCGACGACGGTTGCAGCATCCCCGTGGTCACGTGGTCAAAATTCAGATGCTTGGCAACTGGTTCATATTTATGACGGTCACAGTGTCCCGGAGTCACCTCTTAACGACCTTCTAACAAACAAAAGTCAATGGGGAAGCCAGATTCACTTAACAACCAGGTTACTATTTTAACAAATGCAAATGATTCGCTTAACAGCTGCGGCAAAAAAAGTTGTAAAATGGAGCAAACGCACTTAACAAATGTTTCACTTGGCAACATAAATTTTGGGCTGAATTCTGGTTGTAATTCAAGGACTAATGGTAATGGCTGCCCCCTCCCCCCCAAAGTCAAATGACAACTGTTTGCAGAATCCCGTTCTCACATGACCGCAACGTGCAATGTTTTTGCCCCCAAGTGCCATTTATTTCCACTTTTTGGCAAAAGCATCCCATAGTGAAACTGGCTCATTTAATGACCACAGAATTCACTTAAGGAGTCTGGCTTCACTTAATGACCATGGTGATTTGTTGAATAACCACAAAAATAGTTTGTAAAATCGGGTTGGTTACAGGATGACCCACGTCGTCTTTACTTATGGCTCATTACCGTCATAAGCCAAGGACTACCTGTAGTTTTTACCAGCGGCCTTCCTCAACTCAGTGCTGATCAGATAAGGCAGGGGGTCTTCCCACTTGGCCCTTTTATGACTTGTGGACTTCAACTCCCAGAATTCCTCAGCCACCGTGCTATGCTCGCGGAGGAATTCTGGGAGTTGAAGTGCACAAGTCGTAAAAGGGCCAAGTTGGAAGGGTCTGTCTTCTCCCATCCCCTCCACTCCACTGCCCATGCCTGCTGAGGATGATGGGATAGATAGGCACCCTATTGGGAAGGTCTTACTGACTTACTTCCTAATCTGCATAGAAAAGAGGGACCGATTATGTTAAGCGTGCCGTGGGAAGCCTCCTTGCATGGCTCACAAATTAAAGCTTCAGAGAGGTACAGAGAGTGGGGAGGACGGCAGAAAAGATTATTGGCAGTTCCCTCCCTTCCATCCAGGACACGGCATATAAGCACTGCTTGAGCAGGGCCCACAAGATTGCCTGGGGCGCTACATGTCCTGTTTTCCTTGTTCCCTTCTGGGAGAAGGGGGCTCCGTGGTATCCGAAGCAGAACATCCAGATTCAGCCACAGTTTTGTTCCGTACAGCGTCAACCTTGTGAACTCTCAAGCGTCCTCCTTCCGCTATGTATTCCAAGATGGACAGCAATTAATATTTATATGTATTTATATGTAAGGGTGTGGGTATATACATATGTACGTACATAGCATGTTCATATGGGTGTTATATATGTGTACGCTTTGGAGAGCAAGCAACAGATTTTCATTTTTAATGTGTGCCGGCGTGTCCCATCATTTCTTATGACATACATCTGGCTGCAAGCTGTAAGTAATCCTTAGAGGTGTCTACATAAATTCTGTGTTCTGGCCTACTACTACCAACGCTTCTGGAATGACATCACTAGCACTAGCGATGATGGTTACAGCCCTTATTCCCAGAATGGATGCCTTACAAGTTGCTCTTTTCTTGAGATCTATAAATGCCTCTTCTCCATTCAGAACCACTGGTTTTGATAGTTTGGTTATCCATCACAGACACGACTTTGATAGTTAGGTATACTGGCTCTATATGGTTCCTTTAGGTGGGATATACAACTTGTTTGTTACTCCTGGAAATTCCTTGAGTAACAAACACTTTTCTTGGTTGTTCTGGTGAAGGAGACTGGGAATGGGGCTTAGAGACTGAGAATGGGTTTTGAAGATCTATGGATAGTAGAGAAAAATCCCATGATTTCTATGCATCCTGCAGAGGCACATTGTTAGCCAAGCTTCAAGACATGGGCCTTTGGTGATGCAAAGTAAAAAAGTGACAATAAAGATTAACTTATCTTCACGTTCGCAAACAATTGTTGGTGGAGGATTACGGCAAACCCCCAAGCTTAGCCTAACATGTGAACTAGCTATTTTTCTGCTCGGTGCAGAAAAAACTCCTTAAAAATGAACAGCACTGGAATATCTCTGAAATGCGCATCTGACCTACACTGGCCACAGTGGAATAATAACCATAATAACACCCACCAGATCCTAAGCATCACATGTAAAACATTACAGTGTAATGGCAGGTGAGAAAGACCTTTGAAAACACGGCAAAGAGATTCTGCCTTGGAAAACACCAGATAAAAGAGGGCGGGACCCACAGCTGTACAATGGCTGGAGAAAAGAAGCTCAAAATGGACCCTTCCTTCTCAGGGTGTAAAGGAGATGGCGAGTATCTGTCTATGGCAGTGTTTCCCAAACTTGACAATTTTAAGGCATGTGGACTTCAACTCACAGAATTCCACAGCCAGCGTTGCTGGCTGTGGAATTCTGGGAGTTGAAGTCCTCATGCCTTAAAATTGTCAAGTTTGGGAAACACTGGACTCTGTGGCAGGGGTAGGCAACCTCAGCTCTTTTATGACTCGTGGAATTCTGGGAGTTGAAGTCCATGAGTCACAAAAGAGCCGAGGTTGCCTACCCCTGGTCTATGGAGATTCTCAGTCATCCAGGTCATGGTTGTCCCAAAGGTGTTCTTTTTTACGAGGCAGCTGGACGTTCTTGTTTTTTTTCCTTTGAAGAGGTTTCGCTTCTCATCCAAGAAGCTTCATCAGAACCATTTGCACTTCAGTTTGACATTCAGACAACACAGACTCATCCCCAACAACCTGCGCCTGTCTTCAACAGCGAAGAGAGACAGGGCAGAAAACATCCTGCAGCCAACATGGCTCCACACACTCAGGTAACCCTAAGGACACAGGTAAACCTCCAAGTAGCCTCAATGACTCTCTAAAAGAAGGCAAATGATCAGTGGTCTGCAAGGAGTATAAATCCTTCCATTCCCCACCATCCAGTAGGAGCTGAAGAAGCTTCTTGGATGAGAAGCGAAACGTCTTCAAAGAAAAACAAGAAAGTCCAGTTGCCTCCTGAAAAAAGCACTTTTGGGAGATGGTGGGTAATTTATACATTATGTACTCATACTTTCAGAATTGCAAGATTCTGCAACCTTACAAAAAAGTAGAAGTAGATTGGGAAGCTGCCCAGAGTTTGTTGTAAGATGGGAAGAAGTTATAATTAAGTTTAATATACCGTACTTTCCGGCATATAAGACGACTTTCGAAAGCATTGAAATCTGTGCCGAAGTCGGGGGGGTCGTCTTATACGCCGAGTCATCTTATACGCCGGAAATAACAGTAGTTTCCGGCGTATAAGACGATTTTCTAGGCATGCGACTCGGCGCCGAAGTCGGGGGTCATCTTATATGCTGGAAAATACGGTAAGTTTACTAAAAATGGGTGGAATGTTATAACAACTAGAAAAAAAAAAAACCAACTAGACACAAGGACAATTTTTTCCCCCATGCCATCATTCTGCTAAACAACATATTCCCACAAACAGTCAAAACTATCTAGTTAGGTTGTATTACTATTCTTCTTCTCATCTTTCCTGTTATATCTCCTTATCTTCTGATGGCTATAACTTTGTATGTTAACGATTTATACTGTTTTATTTAATATCCTAGTATGATTTCTTGATTGCTTTAGTATCCTTTGACCATCGCTGTGTGTTCTACCTTATGATTTATGATGAATGCATTTTATGATTATAATCATGATTTACCATTTGTTGCTTGTACGTACACTGAGAGTTTATGTACCAGAGACAAATTCCTCGTGTGTCCAATCACAATTGACCAATAAAGAATTCTAATTCTAATTTTTCTAATTCTAATTCTTCTAATTCTAATAATTCAATACAGGTAGTCCTCGATTTCCAACAGTTCATTTAGTGACCGTCCAGAGCAGTGTTTCTCAACCTTGACAATTTTAAGGCATGTGGACTTAAATTCATTCTGGGAGTTGAAGTCCACATGCCTTAAAATTGTCAAGGTTGAGAAACACTGGTCCAGAGTTACAACCGCACTGAAAAGCGTGGCTTATGACCATCGCAGCACCCCCAGCATCATTTGATTTACATTCAGACACTTGGTAACTGCTTTATATTTATGACGATTGCCATGTCCCGAGTCATGTGATCCCCTTTTGTGGCAAGCAAAAGGGCAATGTCTAGTTCAATGAAAAGAAGGACGAGGGGTAACATGATAGCAGTGTTCCTTTATAACAGCGGTTCTCAACCTATGGGTCACGACCCCATTTGGGGTCGAACGACCATTTTACGGGGGTCGCCAAACAACGCAATCCGCCATTTTCCCCCTCAGGGGGTGCCGCCACGCATGCGCGCCGTGCATGGAGGCGCCGCCACGCATGCGCGCCGCGTCCGTGTGACGGGGGTCGCCGTCACACAAAGGTTGAGAACCGCTGCTTTATAAGGCCTTTGAATACTGCATCCGGTTTTGGTCATCGCAATGTAAAAAAGATGCTGAGACTCTAGAAAGAGTACAGAGAAGAGGAACAAAGAGGATTAGGGGACTGGAGGCTAAAACATATAAGGAACGGCTGCTGGAATTGGGTATGTCTAGTTTAATGAAGGACGAGGGGGGGGCATAATAGCAGTGTTCCAATATCTCAGGGGCTGCCACAAAGAAAAGGGAGTCAAGCTATTTTCCAAAGCGCCTGAAGGCAGGACAAGAAGCAACGGATGGAAACTAATCAAGGAGAGAAGCAACTTAGAACTAAGGAGAAACTTCCTGACAGTTAGAACAATTAATCAGTGGAACAACCTGCCTCCAGAAGCTGTGAATGCTCCAACATTGGAAGTTTTTAAGAAGAGATTGGACAGCCATTTGTCCAAAATGCTATAGGGTTTCCTGCCCGAGCAACTACTGGCAACCACTGCAGGAAGTAACGGTTATCCCTCTTAATTTAGTATAGATAGTTGATGTGCTAGATCAGGGATAGGCAACCTTGGCGCTTTTATGACTCGGGGACTTCAACTCCCAGAATTCCTGAGCCAGCCATGCTGAGGGGAAAGGGAGAGGTTTCCAAGCTGAGCCATGCTGGCTCCGGAATTCTGGAAGTTGAAGTCCAAAAGTCATAAAAGAGCCAAGGTTGCCTACCTTTGTGCTAGATGTATTTGTCACTGCAAGGAGATGTGGTGGGGTGCACATCGTATTTTTCTCCGCTTGCATTTTGTTTAAAGCAGGGGTGTCAAACTCAATTTCATTGAGGGCCATATCAGCATTACGGTTGCCCTCAGGGGTGCGGCCTACTGGGTGGGTGTGGATGGAGTGGGTGTGGCCTACTGGGTGGGCGTGGATGGAGTGGGTGTGGCCTACTGGGTGGGCGTGGCCAGCTCTACATTGTTCGCGTCAAGGGGGCCTGTGGGGGGCCTGGGCAGGAGTGGGACAGATCTGAGGGTCTCTGGCAGAAGAGAGTGGGACCAGGGCAAGTGCCAAGGCATGGTCCACTGGAGGAGCTTCACTGTTCCTCTCAGGCCATGAGGAGGGGGGGCTTATGGAGCTAAGACTGAATGCGTTTCAGCATAGATGGCCACCACAAAATTGTACATTGGCTCCCGGCCAGCCCGGGCCAGGGCCAAGGCAGCGGGGGACGTTCCCTGTTTCCAGGATGGCTTCGCGGGCCACGTGAAACCAGTTCGCGGGCTGCATCCAGCCCCCGGGCCTTGTGTTTGACATGGCTGGTTTAAAGCAACACCGTAATCTCCGCCTTCTTGTTAAAGCAATCTCATCGTTTATTTATTTCCCAGCACAAATCCAGCACATTTGATTTTTATTACCACACCTTGATTTTTTACTCCTGCTTCCTATTTCCTGTAAAACACCAATCCTGTAAGGTGGATCAGGTCTGTCCTACCAATAGATTAGGGCAGTGTTTCCCAAACTTGACAATTTTAAGGCATGTGGACTTCAACTCCCAGAATTCCACAGCCAGCAATGCTGGCTGTGGAATTCTGGGAATTGAAGTCCACATGCCTTAAAATTGTCAAGTTTGGGAAACACTGGATTAGGGCACCGGAGGGAAAAAAAAACTCACCCTTTAGAGCACCTAGCTTTCGAGAAGCCCCAAAGCAGACTTGATGGATCCTTGGAAGGTTCACTGTCATTTCCTCAAAGGAATCCTGACCCTAAAAGAGCAAACAAAGGATCACTCTCAGTTCAAAGGAACCCCATGATATTGAAACAAAAAAATGGACAATCTGACTATATAACATTAGAATCCTGTTTTTATTAACGTTGAGAAAGTAAATTGAATTGCAGCAGGCAGAACCACCTAGACCAGGGGTAGGCCACCTTGGCTCTTTTATGACTCGTGGACTTCAACTCCCAGAATTCCTGAGCCAGCCATGCTGAGGGGAAAGGGAGAGGTTTCCAAGTTGAGCCATGCTGGCTCAGGAATTCTGGGAGTTGAAGTCCACGAGTCATAAAAGAGCCAAGGTGGCCTAGCCCTGCCCTACACCATTTCAGAGAAGTGACTGTCTAGGACAGGGGTCTTCAAACTTGGCCCTTTTATGACTTGTGGACTTCAACTCCCAGAATTCCTGAGCCAGCATGGCTCAGCTTGGAAACCTCTCCCTTTCCCCTCAGCATGGCTGGCTCAGGAATTCTGGGAGCTGAAGTCCACGAGTCATAAAAGAGCCAAAGTTGCCTACCCCTGGAATAGAGCTAGACGGGATCTTGGAGGTCTTCTAGTCCAGGGGTAGGCAACCTCAGCTCTTTTATGACTCATGGACTTCAACTCCCAGAATTCCTGAGCCAGCCATGCTGAGGGGAACGGGAGAGATTTCCAAGCTGAGCCATGCTGGCTCAGGAATTCTGGGAGTTGAAGTCCACGAGTCATAAAAGGGCCAAGTTTGAAGACCCCTGAGCTAGACAAGCTCAGCTGAACTTGGAAAACTAAGGGAGTCAGACCAGGTTAGGGTTTGAATGGGAGACCACAAGGAAATCTCTCGAGAGGGAAGTTGAAAGAAAATCATCCAGAAGAAAATGATGGCCCAAAACATATTCTATACAAGCAGTCCTTGACTTACGACCATTCATTTAGTGACCGTTCAAAGTTACAACGGCACTGAAATTAGCAACTTATGACCATTTTTCACACTTAACAACCTTTGCAGCATTCCCCCATGGTCACGTGATCAAAATTCAGATGCTTAGCAACTGGCATGTATTTATGACAGTTGCAGCGTCCCAGGGTCACATGACCACCTTTTGACAAGCAAAGTCCATGGGGAAGCCAGATTCACTTAACAACCGTGTTACTAACTTAGCTATAGTGATTCACTTAACAACCATAGCAAGAAAAATCGTAAAATGGGGGTAAACTTGTTTAATGGCTGTTTTGCCTAACCACAGAAATTTGGGGTTCATTTTGGTTGTAAATTGAGGGTTACCTGCATTGTCGTCAAAAAGGCCCTCAAAGCCACCAGGATTTAGGATTGAGAGATTTTTCATTTCTATTAAAAAACACACGATCTCCAAATGTGCAAAGCTGGTCTTTGCTGCCCTGAATCAAATTGCTGACAGTGTGGTAGATGAAATTCATATTTAAGTATTGATATTAACCAGTGGAACAACCTGCCTCCAGAAGCGGTGAATGCTCCAACACTGGAAGTTTTTAAGAAGAGACTGGACAGCCCTTTGTCTGAAATGATATAGGGCAGGGGTAGGCAACCTTGGCTCTTTTATGATTCGTGGATTTCAACTCCCAGAATTCCTGAGCCAGCCATGCTGAGGGGAAAGGGAGAGGTTTCCAAGCTGAGCCATGCTGGCTCAGGAATTCTGGGAGTTGAAGTCCACGAGTCATAAAAGAGCCAAGGTTGCCTACCCCTGGTATAGGATTTCCTGCTTGAGCAGGGGGTTGGACTCGATGACCTCCAAGGTCCCTTCCAACTTTATTATTATTATTATTATTAATAATAATAATAATATTAATGTGAAGCCTAGTTCAAATATGTTCTTATTGGCTGTTATAATGAGAGGGCTTGTGTCAAAAAACTTAACTTTCCCTGGGAATTAAAGGCTATGAAATCAGCTCTTCCCTTGAGATGTGTTGCACTACAACGCTCATCAGCCACAGCCAACAATGGCCCTCCCCAGCTAAGCATGGCACTGATGGGAGTTGTAGTCCAAGCTATCCAAAAAGCACCTGTTCAAAACAGTTCCTTGAGACGCAAAATCGTAGAACTTTAAAAAAGATCAAACTTTCCGGCCCTCTTTTTCCAAACTAAGGATCCCGTTTGTTCTATTAATGGCTCTGCAAAATGGGCGTAGGCAGGATGAAGCCTAAATCTGACCTCATTTCACATACAGTTTTAATTCAATTAAATGCACATACCAGGTTGTATGTATTTATTTACAGATTCCCCTTGATGGTTTGCTCGACCAGTGTTTCTCAACCTGGGCAAACTCTTTTAAGATGCGTGGACTTCAACTCCCAGAATTCAGCATAGCTGGCTGGGGAACTCTGGGAGTTGAAGGTCCACCCAGCCAAAGCTGGGAAACGCCGTGCCAGACAGTCAGTTTGGTGCAGTACCCTGAGCTACAAATGAAGAGATCCTGAGTTCTAATCCTGTCTTAGGTGAACATCCCGGGGCAAGTCAGCGCTAGAAAAAAAGGCAAGGAAAATTCATTTCCAAAAACCTAGCCAAGAAAACTACAGGGACTTGTCTATGCAGTCGCCAGGAATGAAGACTGACTAAAAAGCACCCCCCCAAAATATTAAATTGCTAAGACTTTTGATGGACCTCTGGGGGGCTACCTTCAGCTTTTGGAGGGAGAGCACTGACAATGCCCCTGGCTCAGGGCACAGTTCAGTGTTCCCCAAACAGTCCATCACAACTGAAGGAAGTCAACATGAGCTTTAAAGGTCAATCCACCAAGACAAGGTGGAAAACAGGCGATAGGACCAACGCTCACCAACTGGACCTCCTTCTGCCTTAGAAGGAAGCCCTCAGCAACGGCCACTGCCTGGGCACAACTCTCCGGTCCCCTGTCCCTGACGCAGTCTTGTATCTCCAGGGGCAGGATGGCCAGGAACTGCTCCAGCACCAGGGTCTCCAGGATCTGCTCCTTGGTGTGCCTCTCCGGCTTCAGCCACCGGTGGCAGAGCTCCCGGAGACGGCTGCAGACCTCGCGGGGCCCTTCGGCATCCTGGTAGCAAAAATGCCGGAACCGCTGCCTCTGGGCCTCCGTGTTCCCCATCTCTTCCTCGCAGACTTCCTCTTTCACTTTCCAGCCGAAGATCTGCGGGGTCATCCCGTCAGAGGGCGGGACCCTTTTAGAGTCACTAAAAGCCACCAGCTCCGGCAACGGAGGGGTCCCCCAACCTGCATGTGGGGCCTGCACCATCTTCAAGAAATTCTGCCATTGGGCTTCCCAGCGCTGGGCCAGGCCCTCGTCCGGCTCCTGCTTGATTTGCAGTGGGGACCCCCATCTCGGTATTTCCGAGGGGCCACCAGCCTGGACGACACACGGTTCCTTCTGAGCTCCCTCGGCCAGTTCGGCACAGGCTGTTTCTTTCTCCTCCATTTTGACTCCCTTTGCTTGAGCAAGCTGGACTGGGAGGTGCAGGGATGAGGGGGTCTCCCTTTCTTTCCGGATCGCTTTGCTGGAGGCCATGGAGGGAGGGGTTCTTATCCCATGTCAGGCCCAGACGGGGGTGCCTTCCTTGATATCGGCCAGAGAGTCCTTTTGGGACGGCGGAGGGCAAACTTTCCCAAGTCAAGACTCACACCGATGCTGCCAATGGGGTGAAGCCTTCTCCCCTATGTCAAAGAAAATAAGAGAATAAATAAATGATAGTCTTAAAAAAAATCATTGTTTCTCAACTTTGGCCACTTTTAAGACCTGTGGACTTCAACTCCCAGAAGTCCCCAGCCATTTCTGGGAGTTGAAGTCCACAGGTCTTAAAGTGGCCAAGGTTGAGAAACAATGGTCAACAAACTATAGTTCAGTTACCCATATCTAAGATGTATATCAGATAAGCATCTTCAGCAAACATACTCTTATTTTGTTTTGATCTAAGCACCTCCCATAATTTGGCTGCTGTCCTTCCCCCTCCCCCCCCCCAATGAAAACACCACTCTCCCATCTTTGCATAATCCTCTCTCCAGAGTAGCGGGATCGGGTCCCGGCCCCATCCTCCCCAGCCGGCTGAGCACCATGGGATTTGGATCCAGACCAGCTGCAACCAGGCCAGCCTTCTGCAAGCCTTTTTGCTATTGGGGAGTCGCTTTGCACCAAGGTCTCCCCTCCAAAGGGCTTGATGGACGCCTTATCAGCCCCAGCTGAGCAATCACTGCACCCGTTTATGCGCTTTTTTTCGGGGCGGGGGTGTTTCACTCACTTGCGCCCTCAATGCCTCCGCCGGGCCCCCTTCGCCCCGCGCAACTGCAAGGGCGAGATCCCGGAGAAGCGCTCTCTGCAAAGCAGCAGCAGGAATGGAGGGTGAAGGCGGAAAAGGCAGGGAGGGGGATGCTCCTTGCCAAGGACCCCCCCCCCGCCAAAAGCAGGGATGGCCGCTCTAGCAGCCGGCCACTCTATCGAATTAACCCTTCGGCTTGGTCCCCGCAGCGCTGCCAAGCCCTCCGGGGGCCGGTGGGCAACCTGAGCGGGAAAATTTGCCTCGGGCAACGCCTAGAGTGGGATCGTGGGGAAGGCGCTGGGCGAAAAGGAGGGGAGACCTAAGGAGCAGGTCTCTCTGTAGGCTCCCCAGGGGACTCCGAGTTGCTTCTTTCAGGCCAGCCTACCTGGCAGGGGTGTTGTAGGAGGGTCGAAGGAGTAGAGGTAGACCTGGGCTTACAACAGTTCCTTTAGTGACTGTTCAGAGTTACAACGGCACTGAAAAAAAGCGTCTGGTGACCGTTTTTCACACTTATAACCATTGCAGCATCCACTTGGTCATGTGATCAAAATTCATGAAGCTTAGCAACTGACTCAGATTTATGATGGTCCGCAGTGTCTCGGGCTCACATGATCCCCTTTTGCGACCTTCTGACAAGCAAAGTCAGTGGGGAAGGCAGATTCACTTAACAACCAGGTTACTGACTTAGCAATTGCAGTGATTCACTTAACAACGGTGGCAAAAAAAGGTCGTAAGACGGGGCAAAACTCAACAAATCTCTCGCTCAGCAATGGAAATTTGGGGCTCCACTGTGGTCGTAAGCCGAGGACTACCTGCGGATCACAAATTCCTTTCTTGATTTGTAGGCTTCATTGTTTTAGCTCATATCCTTACTTCATTATTCTGTTCATGAAATTTTATTGTACAGGCAACCCTTGACTTATGGCCAGAATTTCCATTGCTAAGCAGAGCGATTAAATGAATCGCACCTAATTTGACAACATTTTTTGGGGTGGGGGCACAATTGTGAAGTGAACCACTGAAGTTGTTAAACAGATCATACAATCCTTAAGCCAGGGGTAGGCAACCTTGGCTCTTTTATGACCCATGGACTTCAACTCCCAGAATTCCTGAGCCAACCTGGCTCAGCTTGGAAACCTCTCCCTTTCCCCTCAGCATGGCCGGCTCAGGAATTCTGGGAGTTGAAGTCCACGAGTCATAAAAGAGCCAAGGTAGCCTACCCCTAGGCTACATAAATAACACTTAGAATAGCCCTTAGACCAGGGGTGGGTAACCTTGGCTCTTTTATGACTTGTGGACTTCAACTCCCAGAATTCCTGAGCCAGCATGGCTCAGCTTGGAAACCTCTCCCTTTCCCCTCAGCATGGCTGGCTCAGGAATTCTGGGAATTGAAGTCCACGAGTCATAAAAGAGCCAAGGTTGCCGGCAATGTTGGAAGAAGGAATCTTTGCCTACTTTGCAAGAATGGTTTCTTAAAGTTTCTTATTTGGCGGAAATGGCAAAGATTTCGGCTTTTTTGAAAGATCAATCGCAAGAGAAGTATCTCTTGGTATGGAAAAGATGGATAGATTTTATACAATATAAGTTGGATATAAAAAAATATTATTTAGTTTTTGAATAACTTATATTTAAAGTTTAAGATTTCTGTTTCTTTTTTTCTCTCTTGTTTTTTTTTATATATACTGTTGTCAATTATTTTATAATTTGTGTAATTAATGTATTCGGATATGTTCATGGAATATATGTGTTTTAAGATTTTTTTTTAATTTTAACTAAGCATGTATTCAGCTCTGGGAAGGTTGGGGGAGGTAGGGGAGGGTCGGGGAAGGGAACTTTTTTTTGTAAAATTTAAAAAAATTTCAATAAAAAAAAAAGAGCCAAGGTTGCCTACCTCTGCTTTAAGCGAATGGCTTCCCCTGTAGGCATTGCTTGCTGGAAGCTGGCTGGGAACTTCTCTGATGGCAAGCACATGAACCCGGAACTCTGCAACCATCATAAATATGAACCAGTTCCTTTAGTGACTGTTCAGAGTTACAACTGCACTGAAAAAAAAAGCAACTGGTGGCCTTTTTTTCACATAGCCATTGCAGCATCCCCTGGGTCATGTGACCAGTAGAACAATTTGTTTACTGAGCATTCGAAGTTACAATGGCCCTGAAATTAGTGACTTTGTGACCACTTGGTCACATGATCAAAATTTGCGTGCCTGGCAACTAGCTCAATATTTATGATGATCGCAGTGCCCCGGAATCTCGTGTGGTCCCTTTTTTGCCACCTTCTGACAAGCAAAGTCAGTGAGGAAGTCAGATTCGCTTAACAACCACATTACTAACTGAACAACGGCAATGGTTGACTTAACAACCGCAGCAAGAAGGGTCGTAAAATGAGGCAAGGCTCGCTTAACAAGTGTCTCACTTAGCAACATAAATGTTGGGCTCAGTTATGGTCGTGAGTCGAGGACTAACTGTATTTTGGAGCCGTGGTGAGGCATGGGGAAGAAGCTGAATTAGGAGGGGGAGGATCCGGATTCTCACCCCTAGAAATATGAAACTCCCTGAGAGGAAGGGTTTGTGTGTGTTTCGGAAACATTTTTTTTTCATGCCAGCCTACCCTACAAGATTGTTGTAGGGTTCAAATGCAGGGAGAGCTACATTTGATTGTGCTTTCTTGTTCAATATTTTGGAAGGAAGGCAGGGTGGGGCACAGGGAAGGGGCTGTGCTAGGAGAAGGGAGACCCAGATTCTCATTCCACTTCCCCCCCCCAAGATATGGAAGCTTCCCAAGGGGGGATTCGCTGAACTATTTTTCTTTCCGTCCAGTCTACCCTGCAAGATTATTGTAGGGATCAAACTTAGGGAAACCCACACATCTGATTGCTCTTTTGCATTCAGTATTTTGGGAAAGGTCCGGGGAATAGAATAGAATAGAATAGAATAGAATGGAATGGAATGGAATGGAATGGAATAGAAGGAATGAAATGGAATAGAATAGAATAGAATAGAATAGAATAGAATAGAATAGAATAGAATAGAATGAAGGGAGATGGAATGGAATGGAATAGAATAGAAATAGAATAGAATAGAATAGAATAGAATAGAATAGAATAGAATAGAATAGAATAGAATAGAATAGAGATGGAATGGAATGGAATGGAATGGAATGGAATAGAATAGAATAGAATAGAATAGAATAGAATAGAATAGAATAGAATAGAATAGAATAGAATAGAATAGAATAGAGATGGAATGGAATGGAATGGAATAGAATAGAATAGAATAGAATAGAATAGAATAGAATAGAATAGAATAGAATAGAATGAAGGGAGATGGAATGGAATGGAATAGAATAGAAATAGAATAGAATAGAATAGAATAGAATAGAATAGAATAGAATAGAATAGAATAGAATAGAATGAAGGGAGATGGAATGGAATAGAATAGAATGGAATGGAATGGAATGGAATGGAATGGAATGAAGAGAGATGGAATGGAATGGAATGGAATAGAATAGAATAGAATAGAATAGAATAGAATAGAATAGAATAGAATAGAATAGGAGATGGAATGGAATAGAATAGAATAGAATAGAATAGAATAGAATAGAATAGAATAGAATAGAATAGAATAGAATATGGAGAATTCCACCCAGTTTCTTTGAGGAATCCTTGACCAAGGAAAGCAAAGGTTTTCCTAAGGTACAGATAGTGGGATGCATCCGGCCACATGGGACCTCAGTGAATTAACGGGCGCCTAGTTGAAGAGGGATGGTTGCCATCTCCGGGGCATGGCGTGTGTGCCCACAGAGAGGGCTCTGAGTGCCGCCTCTGGCACACGTGCCATAGGTTTGCCACCACTGCCCTATACTATGGTTGTCCGTTTACTTAGATTTTTGTTTTGGGCGAATCTGAGTTACTGTGAGCCGAACCCATTTGTACTATTAGTTCCTGGTTCAATCCAGAATGCAAGTCCCCAAAATGTCTTGATTTAGTAACCAGGTTAAATGATGCACAAATGCAGGCAAGCCGTTTCCATATTTCTTGCACTGAGGAATTAAGAGGCCTTCCACAGCTGCAAAATGCAAATTGTCAAACCGTGTTCCTGAGTTTCCTGATGTACATCTTGGAATCAAGCATCCCTCATCCACAGTCACGAAAAGCTTCCCAGGAATATATGTCGGGCTGGGGCTGGCCTCCTTGCCACAGTTCCACCTGCATTATATAGCAGTTAATGACCGCTTCACCGTGATCACATTGGGGTGGTTTGCTAAAACATATTCAATCTTAAACTATGGTTTACAAACCACTGATCATACCAATCAATGCATGGAGCAGTGTTTCTCAGCTTCAACAAGTTTATGCTGTATGGACTTCATTTCCCAGAATTCCCTAGCCAGCTGGCTGGGAATTCTGGGAAAGGAAGTCCACATAGCTTAAACTTACTAAAGCTGAGAAATATTACTATGGAGTAATACAAGCCAGGTCTTTCGGTGGATTTTGACCCAATGACGCTCTCTCTACCAAACATATCTAGTGTCTTCAGTTGGCATGGGAAAAACAAGAGCCCCAATCAATCAATCAAATCGGAGGTGCCTCGCAGAGGACGTATTAAACCCGGCCTTGCCCCAGGCAATCTCCCAAACCTATTTCCCCAAATCTTTTCTCTCTCTCTTTTCCCATTAACATGTGAATGGCATCCCCCATCCCCAGGGTTTTGGGTAAGGTCGCGCCCAGGTTTTCCCCACCTCCCAAAAAGGGGCGGGGCCAGAGAAAAGGAAGGGGTCGTGCAAAAGTTTAAGACGGGCAGGGCTCAATTCGCACCCAGATCTGGCATCGTGCAAATAGAAAGAGGACGCCGCCCGCCCTCCAGTTTTCCTTCCCACTCAGCTGCAACCGGGAGCGGAGGTGAACTTGGGGAGCAAACGTGGTTTGTGCAAATGATCATCGTCGCTTTCTCTGGGCTTGGGAGGGCTGCTTGCGGGACTCATCGCCACCCTTTATTTGGATGCGTTTTATTTTATGCTTGCTATTCCTTTCCGTTTATCAATATCCAGGCCAAGGAAAGAAGCATGGCGTGATAAAACCCTTCCATGGCTCGGGGCAGTCTATCTTTAAAAATACCTTTTTTTTTTTTTTTTTTACTTTTTGCCAGCGTGCCTCGAAGGGGTTCCCCGCCGGATTGCCCGCCCGTCCGTGCCACGATCTGGGATTTCACGCGTGGAAAATTGGGCTAGAAAGTTAAATCTGGTTGGAATTGGGTTTGAGTCCGGCCCGGGAGGAGAAGAAGAGCAACATCGCTTTGAATAGCAAAGTGGGCGGCATATTAATTTCATAATTCTATAAATATTGCAGTAACGTTTCTATGAAATCCCTAGGCGAGGTTTGCAAGAAATAGTGGTAACATGCATTAAGACGCCCCCCGCCCCGCGTGGTTGGATTAGGGCCCTTTCGTATCCGGCCTCCCTCCATCCACATCGAGGCGGCCTCCGATTAAGAAGGGAACCCGTGTCCTTCCCTTTTTTAAAAGCAGTTTCTTTTGTGTGGATCACTCGTAGGATCACGTAGCAAGGAGTTTCGTAGGCTGCCGCTGCCTATTTAATGCCGGCTGGCGGCAAGTACAAATTCTGCGGCTTGGCCCTAGCCGCGTTTACACGTGCTTTACTCCATTAACTCAGTTCCCTGGGCTGTAAAATCGGGTCAGCCAGACCCGCTGGGTTTGAGCGAGTGGCAGGCGAAAAGAGAACAGGCAAAAGTGGTATACTATAGCCTTAGTGTTACCACCAATTAATTTAATTTAAACCATGACTACATCAAGTAAGTTTTATCTTCTGTAAGCCTAATCATTGGGAACCTCTGCAACTTGAGTACGGTATAAAATATAAATCCAGTTAATGATGGCTTATAACGCTATATTTAATTATTATGCCATAATCTTTCCTGGCAAGTAATTTGCCTTTTTAAAATGCCCTCTGTTATTAAATTGGGAGGGGGGCACATTTTTGCAGATAAGATTGAAAGATTTAAAACCCAAGTTCCTGCAAAGTATGATAAATGTTTGGATGACCTAATAAAGATCTTCCCTAAATTGTTTGTGTGTGTGCATCTGCAAGGATAAGAATGGGATAAGCCCAGTGGTGGGATTCAACCCAGTTCACACCAGTTCGGTAGCTAATTTTTTGTTGCCCAGGCCCAGAATGGACTTCCGGAAGCAAACATACACACAGCCACAGTTGTTCACATATTTGAACCCCACCACTTGTAAAAGGTCTCCTGCCTGAGCAGGGGGTTGGACTAGAAGACCTCTAAGGTCCCTTCCAACTGTTATTCTGATAACACACCCTGCCCTGTGGCTGACTGCTTTCCAATCTAAATCTATTTAAAAGGGGAAAGACAGCCTTTTGTCTTGCTAAATAGTTCCTCTCTTACCAGGTTTCTCCACCTTTAACGAATACAAATACTTTACAAATGGTTTTAGCCTGGATTAACTGCACCTGGTGGTAGTGGAGCCTCAGGGGAGAGGTTGAAATGCTAATCCTGAAACTGATTGGGTTCAAGAGAGGATATGTTGCCAGCCTTAGCCCACACTCCCTTCCTTGGAGCTGAAGAAATTACCTGTCTTTGGGGAAAGGATGAAACCGCCCCAAATAGGTTGGGCATTTTAAAAATTAATATTTTTGATTCTGCCTTCTGATGAGATTCCTTTTACTTGGGAGGATCAAACTGAGGAGTGAGATTACATATCTGGCACACGGTTTTGAGAAGCCTATCAGTCACTTGGGTGCATAAAATGAAATTAAAGTTAAATACAGTATATTTTAATAAACAAAACAATTATTGTAATAGTGTGTTCCTGCATTGAGCAAGGGGTGGCTCCTTAGTCAATAACCTAAACTAGTGTGTCTCAAGCTTGGCAACTTTAAGACCTGTGGACTTCAACTCCCAGAATCCCTCAGAGCTGTTCTGGCTGGGGAATTCTGGGAATTGAAGTCTACACCTTAAAGCAGGGGGCTTCAAACGTGGCCCTTTTATGACTTGTGGACTTCAACTCCCAGAATTCCTCAGCCAGGCACACTGGCTGAGGAATTCTGGGAGTTGAAGTCCACAAGTCATAAAAGGGCCACGTTTGAAGACCCCTGCCTTAAAGTGAAGGCCATACATGTAAGATCACACCCGTTCAAGTATCCAGGGTTGAGAAACACTGCTCCATCCAACACCTTCATTTTGGTCCTGATGTGAATCCCATTGCTTTTTTTGATTCGATGGCAAAGCGAACCATTTCAGAAGAATCCTTTGCAAATTTGACTTTGTGGTTTCCTTGCAAGTGTTTTTCAATCCTTCAAAAATCTGCAAAAGATCATCATATTTTCCTTCTTCCTTTTCTTTTTTTTTTAGCTGCCAAGCCCTCCAAACTTTTGTGAGGCAGCCAGAATAGAAGTTCTTCGCTCCGTCTGCACTCCGGTTGCTTCGGCGGCCGCCATTTTGAAAGGTTCTTTATGATGAGGGCAAAGCTGCAGAAAAGGGACCTCCGTCTCAAACTGGAAAACAAGATGGAGCTAGCCAAGAAAGGAGGGCTACGGGACGGCACTCCAAGTTTGCAAGCTGAGGGGGGCCTAGGAGCAGGCCCCCAGCCCTCTCTCGCCCCCCCAGCTGGAGGGATGGGGGGATCCCTGGAGATGCCCCACCAGCAAGAGGACCAGAGCATGCTTAATCTGTGGGAAACGCAGTACCAGGAGTTCCTGAGGGACACTTTTTCCGAGAAGCAGTTGCTGGAGGATCTCACCCTTTGGGAGGATCCTCAGGCCTTCCTGACCTCCTTTGAGAAAGTCGCCACGGCTTGCCGCTGGCCGAAAAAAGAATGGGTGACGCGGCTGCTGCCAGCTCTCAGCGAGGAGTCCGAGAAGGCTTTCGTCGCCCTGTCCGCCGAGGACCGGGAAGACTACTGGAAGGTGAAATCGGCCGTGCTGCGCCGAGAAGCCGCCATCAGGGAGAAGCGACGTCAAGCGTTCCGCCGGTTCTGCTTTCAAGAAGCCCAGAGCCCCCGCCAAGTCCTCGCTCGGCTCCGGGACCTCTTCTGCCAATGGCTGCGAGCCGAGAGGAGCAGCAAAGAACAGATCCTGGAGCTCCTGCTTCTGGAGCAATTCCTGAATATCCTGCCCCGGGAAATGCAGAACTGGGTCAAGGAACGCATCCCGGACACGTGCCTGGAAGCTGTGGGTCTGGCTGAGGAGTTTCTGAGACGGCTCCAAACGCCCGAACGGAGGGGAGAGCAGATGAAGAAGCCCTCTTTGCCTCTGGTTGGTTGTTGGAAATGCTATAGAGATAATAATAGTAAAGTTGGAAGGGACCTTGGAGGTCATCTAGTCCAACCCCCCTGCTTAGGCAGGAAACCCTATACCATAGGTCTGCAACCTGTGGCTCTGGAGCCGCATGTGGCTCTTTGAGCAATCCCCTGTGGCTCCCAGCCTCCTCTGCCATTTGCAGAGAGAGATAGAGACAGAGAGAGGCACTTGTGCTTCCCTGCTTCTCTCTCTCTGTGTGTTTGTGTGTAAAAAAGAGAGTGGACTCAAGGTGTTCTCCGAGGAGCTCAAAAGCTTATTGGGCAAGGCTCCTCCCTTTGCTACGTCTCTGCAGGAAGCAGGAAGGGCAGGAGAGAGCTAGCTAGACCAGCTCTGATGACTCAGGAATTCTGGGAGTTGAAGTCCATGAGTCATAAAAGAGCCCAGGTTGCCTACACCTGAGCTAGCCCAATAAGAATGTGTGTCAGCTGGTTGGAGAACAGCTTGAAGCCAGCTTGCCAGGTGAGCAGAAGATCGGAGAGAGGGAGAGAAAGAGAGGGAGAGAGAGAGAGACCCTTTTGACATCTAAAATGAAGATAACACTGCATATATCAGTGTTTCCCAACCTTGACAATTTTAAGGCATGTGGACTGCAACTCCCAGAATTCTGGGAGTTGCAGTCCACATGCCTTAAAATTGTCAAGGTTGAGAAACACTGGCTTATATCCTTTTTTTACCTTTATCTTCATTTGTTATATCAGTGTTATCTTCCTTTTAGATATCAAAAGGCTTTTGCGGCTCCCGGTGTTTTGTTTTCGGTGGGAAACGGATCCAAGTGGCTCTTTGAGTGTTTTGGGTTGCCTACCCCTGCTCTATACCATTTCAGCCAAATGGCTGTCCAGTCTTAATGATAATTGGGACCTGCAACCCCGTTGCTAAGCAACGTGGTCCTTAAGCGAGACATCGCCAGACCGTGATGGGTTTTTGACCTCCTTTCTGCCCCTGTTGTGAAGGGAGGCTTCTTATTGTTTGTGAAAACTTCCCAACGTGAATTTTTCTGAAGTGTTACCGTTCTAATATTATAGCAATAGCCCTTAGTTCAGGGGTAGGCAACCTTGGCTCTTTTATGACTCGTGGACTTCAACTCCCAGAATTCCTGAGCCAGCCGTGCTGAGGGGAAAGGGAGAGGTTTCCAAGCTGAGCCATGGCTGGCTCAGGAATTCTGGGAGTTGAAGTCCACGAGTCATAAAAGCCAAGGTTGCCTACCCCTGACTTAGACTTATATCCTGCTTCACAGTGCGCTACAGCTATCTCTGAGCAATCTACAGTGTTGCCATTTTGCCACACACCATTACCACCACCCCCCCAACAATCAAACCTTGAGTCAGGATCAAACTCCAAACAGGAGTTCACCTGTAATACTGCCTAAATAAAGGGTATACACAGACGCGTTTCGGTAGCATAATGTGCCACTAACGGCTCATTATGCTACCGAAACGCGTCTGTGTATACCCTTTATTTAGGCAAAAGAGCATTCATAAATCAGTGGTGGCGAACCTATGGCACGGATGCCAGAAGCAGCACTCAGAGCCCTCTCTGTGGGCACGCGTGCCATCGCCCCAGTCCTAGGCCTTCACCTGGGTTTTATAAAACCTTTTCTCTTTAGGCCTCCGCCACCGTATGCAAAAAAAAAAAAAAGGTTCAATCAGTCAATTTCAACTTCTCGCGGGGAAAAAAAAAGATCTTGCAAAGTTGGAAATGATTGATTGAACTTTTTAGTCCCACCCAGTCTGCCATTACCACTGCAGCCATGCCCATCCAGTTGGCCATGCCCACCCAATGGGCCACACCCAGCCAATGGACCACACCCACCCGGCACTCAACGATGCATAAGTGGGTTTTGGGTTGCAGTTTGGGCACTCGGTCTCTAAAACATTTGCCATCAGTGTCATGTCAACAATTTTGGAATCAATGTGGATATTTTAGTGGCATCTGATTTCTCTCCCCCCCCCTCCCTTTTAGGAGCCAGAAACACCAGAGGCTAAACCAGAGGTGGCATCAACACGGAGACCAGCCAGCGCAGACAGTCAGCAGCAGCCTTATCCCTGTAAGAAACTTTTTATTACTATTTTTTAAAATAGTGGAAAACTTCTTTTTTTTTCAATCATGAACTATAGTGACTGGAAGTTGCTGGGGCTAATATGTGTTTTAAATAACATTAGGTGCCAGGTTTTGGGAGTTGCGCTCTAAAACAACCATGGGGTGAAGGTGGACTAAAAAAACAAAGCAAACACTGCAGGTTTTTGAAGAGATAACTTTAGCTGGCTTCCTAAAATCAAATTCTGTACACTTTGGCTTTCTGTTTGTGCCTGGGTACGACCTGATGGAGAACACGGCCTGCTGGCAGCACGAGAAAGTACATAAAAATTAAAATATTGTTCAAGTGAATGGTGAGGAAGCTTGATCAGCTGTTTCGGGACTTCAGATTTGACGTTCACCTTTGTCGGGCAGTCCAGACAGGAAATCCACAGCATGAATATTAACACTCCTTTTATTTTAAGGTTACCGTAATTGAATCTTGCAAGGCTGAAAACCCATCTTCCCCTACCTTCTTTTTACTTTAGGGAGAGGATCCCTTCTGTAACGCTTTCCACACCCCCATTTCTTCTCTTATCTGATCGTTGTCTAGGTCAGGGCTTTTCAACCAGTGGTACGGGTACCACCTGTGGTACATTGGCACCTGGCAGGTGGTACACGACCATCCTAGAAAAGTGGTAGTGGGGGGGGGGAATGAGCTGAACCAGTGACAGCACCGCACGAGCCTGAGCGAGAGATGGCTGGAGCTGCAGGGCTATCAGGGCCCAGCAGAAGCGCCAGGATCAGCACCAGGCTCCAGCTGGAGCTCGGCGCTAATCCTGGCGCTTCTGCTGAGCCCTGAAGAAGCACCAATCAGTTAGAAAGAGGCACTGATCCTGGCGCTTCTGCTGAGCCCAGAAGAAGCGCCGATCAGCTGGAATGTTGCAGCATCTCCAGGGTCTTGTGATTTATATTCAGATGCTTGGCAACTGATACATATTTATGATGGTCGTATTGTCCCAGGGTCATGTGAAGTGACCAAAACCTGATGCAACCGTCCAGCAGACAGGGGGAATAAAAACCAAACACTCCCCCCCCCCACCTCCGCTGCTAATCCTCAACAGAAATGCTCACAACAATGAAAACCTCGGACAGGAGGAAGAGCGCCCCTGAGTGGGCAGGCAGGTGTCTTGCTCGGCTGTGGCTTGGGGGGCACTTTTTCCAGTACCACTTTAACTTCGAACAGTCACTAAGTGAACTGTTGTAAGTCGAGGACTACCTGTACTTTATCACTTTTTTTCTTTTTTTGTGTGTGTGTGTGTGTGGTCATCAAGTTTTTGACACCTTGCTAGGCGACTGGTGGTACTCGGATGTTGCCATATCCAAAAAGTGGTACAATGGGTGAAAAGGTCTAGGCCAGTGTTTCTCAACCTTGGCAACTTTAAGAGGCATGGACTTCAACTCCCAGAATTCCCCAGCCGGCCTGGTTGAAGTTGAAGTTCGCGCCTCTTAAAGTTGCCAAGATGGAGAAAAACTGCTAAGCTGCAATTAATCCCAAGGTGATTTTTTTTTTCCACAAGGCAACTGGACTCTCTTTATTTTTCTTTAAAGACCTTGCGCTTCTCTTTTGAAGCTTCTTCAAAAAAAGAATGCAAATGTCCAGCTGTCTGCAAGGAGTCTAAATCCTTCCATTCCCCCCACCATCCAGTCAGAGCTGAAGAAGTTTCTTGGATGAGAAGCAAAACGTCTTCAAAGAAAAAAAAGAAAGTCCAGTTGCCTCTTGAAAAAGCATCTTTGGGATAACTATGACCCAGATGACTGAAAACCTCTATAGACACTAAGCTGCCATTCTCCCTCCTGTCTCCCAAGGTTATTCTCTCATCCCATGACACCCTGTTGAAATTCAGCCTTTCATACAGGTGGTCCTCGACTTACGACCACAAGTGAGCCCAAAATTTCTGCCGCTAAGCGAGACAGCAGCTAAGATAACTTTGCCCCATTTTACGACCTCTCTCACCACAGTTGTCAAGTAAACCACTGCATCAAGTTAGTAATAGTTGCTAAGTGAATCTGGCCTCCCCAATGATTTCACTCAGCAGAAAGGGGATCGCATGACGCCGAGACACTGCAACCGTCATAAGTACGAATCAGTTGCCAAGCTGACGCTGACTTTTGATCGTGTGACCATGCTACGACGGTTGTAAGTGTGAGAAACGCTCATCAGTCCCTTTTTTCAATGCCGTTGCAACTTTGGTCACTACATCCGGGTCCCCAACCCCCTGACTGTTGTGGTTCCTCGTCAGCCCATGGACCTGGCAGCTGAGTCCGGGGAATCAGAGGAGGAGGGGGGGCCTGGAGTGACATCAGAGTCAGAGGAAGGCTCTGAGGAGCTCCAAGACTTAACAGTCTGACGAGGAGCCTGGCCCCTCTATTCGCACTCAGGCTGAGACACAGCTGGGAGTCTGAGGGGGATAGAGATGAATCGCAGCTGGGAGATACCCAGGATGCACGAAAACGCCAGCAAGAAAAGAGAGTAGGACAGAGGAATGCAATGGGGCGGCTCGAAAGGCAAAGGAGAAGGCATTAGGAAGCCAGGCCTTGGCTGCATAATAAAAGGGAAGGTGTGGGAGGTGCTGGTTGCCAAAGGCAACTGTTCGGGTTAAGAATCAAGTTGCGATGAACTGTATTTGTTTTCCTCAGGTCTGTGACTAATAAAAGGGGTTTGGGTTTGTCCTGCGGTTTCTGCCTGCTTGATTTGAAGAGGTTTTCTCCTTCTGAACGTCACAAGGCGCTCAAATAGGCTGGGACAGAACACTGACCAAGAACCGGCACCAGTCTGTGGCATGCCACAAACCGGTCCACACAAACAAGCGAAGCCCCATCTGCAGGATGCAGGCAACATGCGAACCCCACGTTCAGTCTGTGGAAAAACCTCTCTCCACAGAACCAGTCCCTGGTGCCCAAAAGGTTGGGGGCCACTTGCCGTCCGTAAGTCGAGGATTACCTTTCCTGAGAATATTCCTACTCTTCCTTTCAGCAGGTTACAAGGAGCCCAACGGGAGCAAGAAGAAAAAAATCCAGTGGGCCTATTACGGAGACGTGAAACTCCGAGCGGTATTTCCTGGGAGAGCCAATGCTTGCCGTTGGAAGCAAGGAAGAATCGACACCGTCTCACCGTGCCGTTATTCCAAAAGGCTGCGGAAGAGCCACCCGCCCATCCAGGTGGAGATGCTGTCTTCGACTCCCCGCAAGGTGAAACCTAAGCTGAAAGAGCAGCCACCTCCTGTGCCGCAGACCCCCAAGGACCAGATCAAGCACTGCGAGGACTGTGGTAAAAATTTCAACGGAACGGCGAGTTTCCTCCGCCACCGTATACGACACACGGGGGAGAAGCGCTACGAGTGCTGTTTCTGCGGGAGAGGGTTCTGCTGGCGGTCTGACCTGGTCCGCCACGAATGCCAACACACCGGCAAGAAGCCGCACGAGTGCTCCTTCTGCGGAGAAGGCTTCGACCGCAAGTGGTTACGGGTAAAACATCAGCAGACCCACCTGCAAAGCAAGCCGAATCTTTGACCAGCGGGAAGATGCACAGCAACAAGAAGAGGAAAAAAACATATTTTTTTTTTCTGCAGCTTTGAATTCAAACAGGCAATAGTACCTCATCCACTTTTTTTAGCATTACCTTTCTCGGAAATAAAAATGGTGTAAGGCAGTGGTTCTCAACCTTTTCTAGTGCCGCAACCCCATAATACATTTCCCCATGTTATGGTGACCCCCAACCACTTATACATCACTGGGTGCCAGGGGCGTGGCCAAAGAAAAGGGGGAAAAATGGCAGACAGCCTTGTTTGGCGACCCCCGTGAAATGGTCGTTCGACCCCAAATGGGGTCCCGACCCACAGGTTGAGAACCACTGGTGTAAGGGAAAAGCAGGCCAGAAACCAGCATCTCTGATGAGGGTTTGGTAATAATCTCCCTCTTACTTGGGAGAATTTTGAAATGTCCTGAGATTTCAGGTGTCCGATATATTTTTCGGGCAGAAACTGGAGGCTGCATTTAATCTCAGAGCTGCCAATATCTGTTGGCAGCTGGTCGCAGATCCCTGGTTTGAAATTTTTATCCCATGCGAAGGTGGCCATCTTGTTTTTTAAAAAATGTTTTTTAATGAGCCAGCTTTTCATTAAAAAAAAAGAGAGAGAGAGCAAACGAAACTTCCCAATTGCTTTTGTGCTCATAGCTTTATTGGCAAAAATGACGACTAGAACGGTCGATCTGCTTCCCGGGTTTGGCGTGAGATTTAAGAAAACCTTGGGGACTCTTTTTGCGGTTTAATGAGAAATATACAGCTGGTCTTTGACTTACGACGAGAATTACAGTGCCACATCGTGCTGGTTGTTAAGCAGCTGGAAACTGGTCATAAATTGAGGACTGCCTCTATATTCTGTTCTCTCTGCTTTCCGGATGAATAATGCTTCTTGTGTAAAATACTTGGTTTCACACGTAGTGATCTTGAGAATGTATACATACTAGGAAACCAACTTATTTGCAATTTACTGATTGAATAAATTGCTGCCTAATAACCAAAGGAAAGAGATAGTCATTAATCCTATTAATAGGATTAGCAATTTTTCGTCCCAGTCTTTTATCCCCTGTACATTTTAACATTTTAACTTTCATCTCCCCAAATGGCTACCCGGCGTGGCTTATGGGCTTTGGGGAACTGAAACCTACCTGCCCAGGGCCAGGGATAGATTAAAGGGCAGCAAAGCAGAGGTTTAAAGGTGTGAAGCTCTTTAGATATATTAAAATCTCAATATGATATAGGAATCTCACAACACTGGTTGCGGTTTCCTCTTTTAGACATGACAAGTACCTGTCTGGCCTCAGTTTTTCGTAACGCTGGTAGCCCTGTCCAGCCTTTGCAGAAGTCTCAAAAAAAGAAAGAAATGTACAGTATGGTAAGAATCCAGGTCACAAAGATGGGAGACATTTTATAAATATTCTCCTGGCATGCCTTGTAATGTGACAAGAAAACAAGCGCCTTCTAAATGCTCAAGTCCTGCTCGGATCTTAAAGAAAATTACAATGTATGTGAATGGGGGAGAGGATCTGTTTCCAGAATTTATACTGTTGGCCAGGGGTCTTTACAATTGGCCCTTTTATGACTTGTGGACCAACTCCCAGAATTCCTCAGCCAGGAGTTGAAGACCACAAGTCATAAAAGGGCCAAGTTTGGAAGACCCCTGCTGTTGGTTGGTGTTGGACAAAATTGTATTTTTCTCTGTGTTTTATAATTAGCCTCTTGGTGTTAATTGTTTCTGGTTTCCACTCAGTCAACTGCATTAAATTGCTATATATGCGGGCTCTTCTCTGAGACAGTAGTGCATTTTGAGTTTGTTGATTAACCGTTTTTCAGCTTTCGTGCTATTTTACAAGGTTTTTTTTCAACAGCTAAAGTATCGGCTGATAATTTCATCATGTTGTAGATAAATAGAGCTGATTTGTTATCCTAAAAGTTAAAATAAATTTTTAAAAATATCTTCCAGGAGACTTGTGGACAAATTATTTTATTTTACTAAGATTTTGTTTGGTCAGCGAGATAACAACATTGAAAAGTTTTTTTTTCCACCTTTTGTCTTGATTGCTAGGTCCAACTTTGGTTGGGGTTTGTACTATGGAACAGAGAAGACTCTAGAAAGAGTACAGAGAAGAGCAACAAAGATGATCAGGGGATTGGAGGCCAAAGCATATAAGGAATGGTTGCTGGAATTGGGTATGTCTAGTTTAATGAAGAGAAGGACGAGGGGGGACATGATAGCAGTGTTCCAATATCTCAGGGGCTGCCCCAAAGAAGAGGGAGCCAAGCTATTCTCCAAGGCACCTGAAGGCAGGACAAGAAGCAACGGGTGGAAACTAATCCAGGAGAGAAGCAACCTAGAACTAAGGAGAAACTTCCTGACAGTTAGAACAATTAACCAGTGGAACAACCTGCCTCCAGAAGCAGTGAATGCTCCAACACTGGAAGTTTTTAAGAAGAGACGGGGCAGTCATTTGTCTGAAATAGTATAGGGTTTCCTGCCTGAGCAGGGGGTTGGACTAGATGACCTCCAAGGTCCGTTTCAACTTTATTATTATTAAAAGGATATTTTTTAAAAAAATTACAGAATAATAACAGTTGGAAGGAACCTTGAAGGTCAATCAACCAATCAATCAGAATAAGCATACCGTTTCAGACAAGTGACTGCCCAGTCTCTTCTTAAAATCCTCCAGTAATGAAGCACCCAAATGTCTGAAGCCAATGTGTTCCACAGGTTAATTGTCATCACTGTTAGGAAGTTCCTCCATAGTTCCAGGTTGCTTCTCTCTTTGATTAGTTTTCATCCATTGTTTCTCGTCCTGCCCACAGGTTCCTTGGTAAATAAGTTGACCCCCTGCTCTTTGTGGCACCCCCTTAAATATTGGAATACTGCTATCATGTCACCCCTAGTCCTTCTTTTCTCTAGAAGTCAAACCCAAATCCTGCAACTGAGGACCCAGATTGTTGGGGGCAATGTAAATATATATATATATACATTGCTTACTGGTGTACACCACTTAGAGCAGTGGTTCTCAACCTTTCTAATGCCGCGACCCCATAATACAGTTCCCCGTGTTGTGGTGACCCCCAACCACTTATACATCACCGGGTGCCAGGGGCGTGGCCAAAGAAAAGGGGGAAAAATGGCGGACAGCCTTGTTTGGCGACCCCCATGAATGGTCGTTCGACCCCAAATGGGGTCCCGACCCACAGGTTGAGAACCACTGGCTTAGAGAGTGCTTGCACTTAAAGCGGTATATCAGTCTCATAAATAAATAAACAAATAAATAAACTGTTCTTCATATGTTTTAGTCTCCAGGCCTTTAATCATCTTAGTTGCTCTTCTTTGCACTTTTTCCAAAGTCTCAACATCCTTTTTTGTAATGTGGTGACCAAAACTGGATTCTAGCATTCCAGGTATGACCTTACTAAGGCTTTATAAAGCAGTACTAATACTTCATGTGATTTTGATTCTATGCCTCTGTTTATATAACCAAGGATTGTATTCACTTTTTTGGCTGCTGCCGCACACAGCTGGTTCATGTTTAACTGATCGTACACTAGGCTCCACAGTCCCTCTCCCTGTTACTGTTTTTGAGCCATGTTTCACCTCGTCTGTACTTGTACCTTTGGTTTTTTTCTGCCTAGGTGTAAAACCTTGCTTTTCTCACATTAAATTTCTCATGTTGGAGATCTTTTTGGATCCCGAGCTTGTCTTCTGGGATGTTGGCTATTCCTACCAGCTTAGTGTCATCTGCCAATTTGATGAGTTCCCCTTCTATTTCCTCATCTAAGTCATTTATGAAGATGTTGTATTGGGCTTAAGATGGAACCTAGTAGTACCTCACTGCTTACTTCCCTCCATGTGGATGTAGTACTATTGAGGACTACTCGTTGAGTACTGTTTGTCAGCCAGCTATAAATCCATCTGGTGGTGATGTTGTCTCTCCCACATTTTTCTAGTTTACCAAGAAATAGGTTGTGATCACCTCAGATGGGGACTGCAGCCAAGGAATTAAAAGACGCTTGCTCCTGGGGAGGAAAGCTATGGCAAATCTAGACAACATACTAAAAAGCAGAGACATCACCCTGCCAACAAAAGTGCGTATAGTCCAGGCCATGGTTTTCCCAGTTGCAATGTATGGCTGTGAAAGCTGGACCATAAGAAAGGCTGAGTGACAAAGAATTGAGGCCTTTGAACTATGGTGCTGGAGAAGACTCCTGCGAGTCCCTGGACTGCAAGGCGATCAAACCGGTCAGTCCTAAGAGATCAACCCTGACTGCTCTTTAGAAGGCCAGATCCTGAAGTTGAAACTCAAATACTTTGGCCACCTAATGAGAAGGAAGGACTCACTGGAGAAGAGCCTAATGCTGGGAAAGATGGAGGGCAATAGAAGAAGGGGACGACAGAGAATGAGGTGGCTGAATGGAGTCACTGAAGCAGTAGGTGTGAGCTTAAATGGACTCCAGAGATGGTAGAGGACAGGGGGGCCTGGAGGAACATTGTCCATGGGGTCGCGATGGGTCGGACACGACTTCACAATTAACAACAGCAAGGTTGTGATCTACTTTGTTGAAGGTGTGGTCTACTAATTTAGTCACTTTGTCAAAGAATAAAATAAGATTGGTTTGCCATGATCTGTTTTTAATAAATCCATGCTGGCTTTTAGTTATAACTTTATTTGTTTCTAGATGTTCGCAGATATCTTTTTTGATTATCTTCTCCAGTATCTTCCCACGTATTGATTGTTAGGCTGATTGGTCTACAGTTTCCTGCATCTGTTTTTTTCCCCCTTTTTTTGAAGATTGGAATCACATCAGCTGTTTTCCAATCCTCAGGTTAATTCCTCAGTGTTCCAAGATTTTTGAGAGATATGATACAATGGTTCTGGAGATAATATCTGCCAGCTCCTTTAGAACGCTGGGGTTGTTAGTTGTCTGACTATCTGTTGCCATCTAGTGGGCATTGTGGCCTGGTTAAATAAAAGCCAGCAGGAGAAGGGGGTAGTAAAATAACATTCAAGACAATGGCTATGATCAAAGTCTCACCACCTTTTTAAAAAAGCATGCACTATATTTTTAAAAAGGTGGAATTTTTAGTGGATGATTGCCATTATGGTTTGGCATGTGGTCTCATGACAAAAAGGCATAAGAACTAAGATTCTGGAAAAGGTCTTGATCTGCGGTAGGCAACCTTGGCTCTTTTATGACTCATGGACTTCAACTCCCAGAATTCCTGAGCCAGCCATGCTGAGGGGAAAGGGAGGTTTCCAAGCTGAGCCATGCTAGCTCAGGAATTCTGGGAGTTGAAGAAAGCTGAGACTTCGAGGCACTGAGGTTGCATTAGATATAATTGGTACATGCAGATGTTTGTGAGAATGAAAATAAAATAAAATTTATGCTAAACAAAACCCATGTGTTTCTCTTGCTTTGTATGCTGTGTTCTTAAAAACTCCATTGCTGACTAGCCTGAATAAAAAAAGAGTTGCTTTCATTTTTCTTGTCAACACTGATGAAACTTCATAACCATAATGGATTTTTACACAATAACAGTGTTGGAAGGGACCTTGGAGGTCATCTAGTCCAACCCCCTGCTCAGGCAGGAACCCTACACCATTTCAGACAAGTGGCTGTCCAGTCTCTTCTTAAAAACGTCCAGTGTTGGAGCATTCACCACTTCTGGAGGCAGGTTGTTCCACTGATTAATTGTTCTCACTGTCAGGAAGTTTCTCCTTAGTTCTAGGTTGCTTCTCTCCTTGATCAGTTTCCATCCATTGCTTCTTGTCCTTCCTTCAGGCGCTTTGGAAAATAGCTTGACTTCTTCTTTGGGGCAGCCCCTGAGATATTGGAACATTGCTAGTTCTTAGTCCCACTGATTTCACTGGACCTGTGAGTGGATCTTAGAGGAAGCTCTTGCAAGATTGATTGGATGGACTGTTTAAATGCTGGCAAGATATGTGTACAGCTTTATACCCTTCAACTTACTGGCATCGATCAATTCCTGAAACTAATATATAACTATTGTGGACTATTCCCCCTATGTGCTAGGTTTTTTGGGGGGGGCGGGGGGGAGTTTCACCCTCTTTTAAAATCCTCCACTGTTTCCCATTCCTTTGTCCACTTTTCTTACCAATCAAGCTAAAAGCCTCAAACTGAGATTTCCTTCATATGTTGATTGGGCTTGTCTGCAGTTTCCTGAGCTTTAAAGGAAAGCCTCTGAATCAAGGTTGGACACTAGATGACCTCCAAGATCCCTTCCAAGTTTTTTTATTATTATTATTACTACTACTACTACTATTATTATTGATCATTGCACAGTCAAACAGATGTTCAGACTGGATCTGGCATTTTGTCTACCTATTGAGTTCTTCCCAAGAACCTGGGATAGGCAGATGTGATGGTATTACAGATATCGCCGCAGGATGGAAGCAGTTCCTAATAAGGCTGCTTTTTGCAATTGATTGATGGCAAATTATTATTATTACTATTATTATTGTTGTTGTTATTGTTATTATTATATGGGTGACAGGATTTTGCTTAGTTTTTTTGACAGATGCCAACAGAACGCTTGTTTCAAGACTCTGTGACCACAGTTGATACAAGACATGAACCCTGAATGTGATTTGATTTGTGTAGCTTCAGCGCCCTGCGGGAAGTAACTTAGAACATAGACTTACAGAGTTGGAAGAGACCTTGGAAGTCTTCTAGTCCAACCCACTACTCAGGCAGGAGACCTCTGTACCATTTCAGACAAATGGTAGAAGTAAGTCATTCTGTTTTTGCAAATCACAACTTGCAGTTTAGCCCCATTGTGAGAACTAATTAATTCAACTTTCTTTAAGAAGTATTTCTCAAAGGTGGCGCCTG